TGCACGGTTATGCATTTACTGAAGGCCTACTGTTGGAGAGTTCCCAAACCCCATTTCACAGGGTAAATTGAGGACTTTCATTCAGGGTCTTTCATTTATGCAGTAAACATAAATACATATTTGGGGCGCCTGGGTGGCTCAGTTGGTTAAACGACTGCCTTCGGCTCAGGTCATGATCCTGGAGTCCCTGGATCGAGTCCCGCATCGGGCCCCCTGCTCAGCAGGGAGTCTGCTGCTCCCTCTGACCCTCCCCCCTCTCATGTGCCCTCTCTCTCTCATTCTTTCTTTCAAATGAATAAATAAATCTTTAAAAAAACATAAATACATATTTAATACATGTAATTCACATTTCACTACATTCTATTAATTGATTTTTTTTTTTAAAGATTTTATTTATTTGACAGAGAGACAGCGAGAGAGGGAACACAAGCAGGGGGAGTGAGAGAGGGAGAAGCAGACTTCCTGCCGAGCAGGGAGCCCGATGTGGGACTCGATCCCAGGACCCTGGGATCATGACCTGAGCCGAAGGCAGACGCATAACAACTGAGCCACCCAGGCGCCCCTATTAATTGATCTTTAAGATCTAGGTACTTTTAAAAAAATATTTATTTATTTTAGGGTGGGAGGCAGAGAGTGAGAGCAAGGGCAGGAGTGGGGGGAGGGGAAGAGGGAGAAGAGATGGAATTTCCAGCAGACCACCTGCTGACCCTGGACCCTGAGGTCATGACCTGAGCTGAAACCAAGAGTTGGATGCTAAACCATCTAGCCACCCAGGTGCCCCAAGGTCTAGGTACTTTTAGAGAGCAGTACAGGCTCCTTATTTTCTCATTGGAGGACATCGGGTCTTTCAGTCCTATTAAGATTAGTGTATCTTTTTAAATTTATTTTATTTTTTAAAAAGATTTTATTTTAGAGAGCGAGTGAGAGGGAGAGGGTCTCAAGCTGACTCCTGCTCTTAGTGCGGAGCCCGACGTGGGGCTCGATCTCATAATCCTGAGATCATGACCTGAGCTGAAACCAAGAGTTGGAGCCACCCAGGAGCCCCCCAGTGTATCTTTTTTTAAGTAAGGCAATGCAGAAAGTTCTTATTTTTGAACTTCCTGTACTGTATCCCTTCCCTTTTTGGGAGTGGGTTGGGGTAAAGATTTTCTTTTTTTTTTTTTTTTTTTAAAGATTTTATTTATTTCACAGAGAGAGACACAGCGAGAGAGGGAACACAAGCAGGGGGAGTGGGAGAGGGAGAGGCAGGCTTCCCGCGTAGCAGGGAGCCTGATGGGGGGCTCTATCCCAGGACCCTGGAACCATGACCTGAGCCGAAGGCAGACGCTTGACGACTGAGCCACCCAGGGCACCCTATTGTATGTGCTTTTAAAGTTTTGGTTTATAGATTTTGGTAATATTGAAATCTACCCCCCAAATTTTAAAAGTTTCCTTAAAGTTCTCCTAATGGAAAAACAAAGAACATAATAGGAACATAAGTTATTGGCTTTAATCTTGGTTATTTCTACAAGATAGAGCAGGACAGGCAGATAGGCTAAAAAAAATGTGCTCATGTGAACTTTCTTCCAGTAGACTCATGTTCATTTTTTTAACGTTGTGGCAGCCTTCAAAGATTAAAAAGAGGTTGAACTGAGCAGTTAAGTATATATAAAGTTGGAAAACTCCAAAGCAGATAGTAACTTCCAGCGATTCTGCTGCAGCCTCAGGCAAGGCTGTGGTGGCTTCCATTCTCCGTGTGAGGAGCTCTGGCTGCCTGAGCCTGTGTTGACTTTGGCCTCTAGAGTTTGTGGAGTGTGTTTAAAAGGAGTGAATAAGTAACACTAATGGGAGGTAAATAACCGTTTCCTTTTTCTTTTTATCTTTTCTTAAAAACTAAATATTTAAGTCAAAGGTTGGACATGTACTTAATTAAAAAGACAGAATTTTGGGGCATCTGGGTGGCTCAGTCGGTTAAGCATCAGACTCTTGATCTCAGGGTCAAGCCCCACATTGGGCTTCATACTGGGTGTGGAGCCTGCTTAAAAAAAAAAGTCAGAATTTTATAATTTAATAATTTCTTACAGAACTTAGATTTATAGCAAATACTGTAATGATTGATAAAAAAATTTCAGTCAGTGTCAGGTTATGCCAGTACCTTGAATTCCTTTACAGTTAAACCTTTCAAAAGACGATGCGTCAGCTAAAGGTGAAGTTTCAGGAAAAAAATTTTAGAGCATTTAAAACAGAGTTGGTCGTATTTTTAAGTAATGGCTTTGTTCTTCATATGGAAGAGATTTAGGGAAGTGCTACTATGACATTTTAACATAACCATTAAAACCTTCATAGCTGCTTATTCTTGACATTAAGAGGCAATAAGTATTTTTTCTAAGATTTTATTTATTTGATAGAGAATGAGAGATAGCACGAGAGGGAAGAGGGTCAGAGGGAGAAGCAGACTCCCTGCTGAGCAGGGAGCCCTATGTGGGACTCAATCCCAGGACTCCAGGATCATGACCTGAGCCAAAGGCAGTCGCTTAACCAACTGAGCCACCCAAGCGCCCAAGAGGTAATAAGTATTAACATTTTTACACATTTGTAATTTGGAAAGATGTTCACTGATGATGGCTTTAACTCCCCTCTCCTCCCTCAGCTACCACATCCAACCCATGGCTGAGCTGTCTTGTTCTGCCTTGTGCCTAGGAAGCTCTTGAAATGGCCCACTTCTCTTCACCCTGAAGCCCCCTCATTGGTTCACACCACTCTGCTTTTCCTGCCTCCAGTCCCAGCTTCCTTCCTCTGTTCTCTTTCCACACTGCAGTCAGAGGCTGCTTCTAAAAATGCAAATTTAATGGTTTCTCGGCAACTAAAAATCTTCTGGGACTTCCCAAGTAGGATTAAGTCCCATACCCTTAACAAGAAGAGATGACAATTTCCTCATTTTCCTTTGCTGCTTCCCCCTTCTTTGTTCTTCAGGTATACTGGGCTTCCCCATAAATGCTGTTGCTTTTGCCTGGAATGTTCCTTCTGTCACGGCCCCACTCTTCTAAGTTTCAGTATACATTGCAGCCTCCTCTGTGGGCCTCCCAAGACTAGGTTAGATCCCTTTGCCGTACATTTCCAGAGCATTTTTTTTTTTTTAAGATTTTATTATTTGAGAGAGCACGAGAGAGAAGGCGCACCAGGAGAAGCTTACCGGTAGAAGCAGCCTCTCAGCTGAGCAGGGAGCCCGACGCGAGGCTCGATCCTGGGACTCCAGGATCATGACCTGAGTCGAAGGCAGCCACTTACCTGACTTGAGCCACCCAGGTGCCCCTCCAGAGCATCTTTAATACACTTATCACACCTATAATTTTATGTAATGACAGCATTCTTCATTTTTTACTTTAATAACGTCACAGATTCCATGAGGTCTTGTTCATTGCAGTATCTTCAGCACCTACTATTCTTCCTTGCATAGCATACACTTTGTTGGTATAGATTGAAATAGAATTAATGCCTTCAGTAGTTTTGTGATGGAGTTGGTAGTCTTGGATCCATTTTACAGTTGTGAAAACTGAGTCATAAGGAAGTTGAAACTTACTAACAATTCCAGCCAATAAGTGATAAAGATAAAGTGATAGAGTGGCTCTGGGTCTCAGATCCAGGGTAATGACTGCAGATCTCAGAGGGGTTTGACATTGTAAGCTTTTAACAAAATGTGTGGCCAGTGAGTCATTTTGTTTAGAAAGCCTTTAGGAGTTGGAAGCTACTTCCTGATGATGTAATGTTTGACTCCGTGAGGTCTTTGGGGGTGGGGGAGTTGCAATTTTTAAGCCCTTAATGTTGTAAAACAAGTATTGGCAAGACTGTAATCTCTCCTAGCTGAGAGGTTTTTGCCTTCGGCTAAGAGTGCTACAAAAATAGCAAAGCACTTCTTTATTGTGAATCCTAATTCCTAGTAGTTGAGATTGAATAACAAAACCTTACAGCTCAGAACTTCATTGAATAACATGACCTTGGTAAGGCAAGAGAAGACAGCAGGAGATGGGCTCCTTTAGGGAGCGCATTTAGTGAATCCTTAAGCCAGGGACACAGGCTTTCAGAAGCCCTGGAAGTCACCATTAGAATGTAAAATTTGGAAACCATATTTTGGGTAAGGGTGCAATGATCTTAATTTGTAGTGGATATTCTCATGAAAAAACATTTCAGGCAGTTGGGAGACTTTGAACCACCACTCTGATCTCTGCCTGATGGTACACTGTACCCACTACCAGTTGTGCAGGAAGCCCTTCTGTCTCTGGAGGATTTCTACACGATTCTTTTTTACTTTCTCCTCTTTGCAGCTGCTTGGAAGTTTATGCCAGCATCCCTGAGCCATTAATTAATATGTCTGGAATATATTGTTTTAGTTGCTCTAAAAGCTTATGGTGATATGTGAGGATGGGGGTTGGGGAGGTGGCAAATGAATACAGATGAATTAAAGTGAGTCTGTGTGGCTCTTTGTGGTTCACAGTTGTGTGTGTGGTGGTTAGTGACTAAGCACTCTATTAAGAGAACAATCATTACTGATGCCAGAGGGAAGGCTTTAAAAGGTGGTGGGTTTGAGCTACCACTCTGAGGCAGCAAAATATATTACTTAGCAACCAAGTGGAAGTTGTAGAGGAAGGCTGTGTTCCAAAATGATTTGAAGATAGAATTGAAGGTTCTTGGATGAAAGACTGGTACAGGTGTTCACAGAAGAGACTTTCAATTTAAAAATCTTGCTCCTCTTCAACTTGGCTTATTAAACAGCAGTTTCTGACCGTGAATGCTAATGCTGTACACCTAAACAGAATGTGAAGGCTCCTTTTTGAGAAATTCGAGTGTGTTTACTATAAATTTCAGGATAAAAATGTGTAGTGTTAACTAAAAGATTATAGAAACCGTTCAATGCTCAGTACTTGGTGTATACTCCTTGATTTTTCTATAAATTTAACAGAATAATGAAAGGATTACATTCATGTTGACTAAGCAACTTACACCATTTTTCTCTCTCTCTTTAGAGCTGTAGGTAAAACTTGCCTACTGATCAGTTACACAACCAATGCATTTCCTGGAGAGTACATCCCCACTGTGTAAGTATCGAGTTAAACTGGGAATTAACTTGTCTGTGATGTTTGGTTTTTTTTTTTACTTTTGACCATTGTTTTCGCTATAAAGGCATTCTTAATTTGCGCATGAACAGATCTAATTAATTTTCCGTCCATTCACCAAAGTCTAATTATAAGGTATTTGGGCTTTTTAAAAATAATCTAATGTAAAGTTTCTACATTGTGATGAAACACACAGCTTTCCTAATTGGTTTTTAGACATTCAGGAAACAAAGTTAACTAACTGAAGTATGAAGACTGGATAATATAAGAGTCTCAGATAAATTTGGCTGTCTGGGCTGTGTGTGTGTGAAGGATCAAAGAACTGGAACGTGAAATATGCTGTTACATTGTAATTGGCCTTTTCTGGCAAGGAATCTGATGGTTGCATGTCACTGTTGAGTTACCATGCTGTTGAAATGAAACCAGGATGTGGGTTGGGGGCAGTTATGGGAGGACAATTGGCTACTGAGCTGCTTAAACCCTCTTGGCAGCAGAATTGAGTGGAGATGGAAAAGTGCTTTTCTGATGATGGGGTTACTAGGGAGCCCCATGTACCCAAGCCTCGTAACGTATCGCCCTGCAGCCATGGTGTCAGCTCTGTCTTGACGGCTGCCATGCTGGTGGAGAGGAAACAGCATGGGTCCCACCTGTGCTGACCTTGTCAAGCACAGCACTGTATGCTGCAGAGGTCTCCAGAGTTTTTTTTTTTTTTTAAAGATTTATTTATTTATTTGAGAGAGCGAGAATGAGAGAGAGAGAGTACATGGGGGGGGAGGGTCAGAGGGAGAAGCAGGCTCCTTGCTGAGCAGGGAGCCCGATGCGGGACTCGATCCAGGGACTCCAGGATCATGACCTGAGCCGAAGGCAGTTGTTTAACCAACTGAGCCACCCAGGCGCCTGAGGTCTCCACAGTTTTGTAGAAATGGGATCATACTGTCCGTGTTCTGGTCTTATGGTGGGGACTTTCCTAATCTACACATAGGTAGAGTTAAATCATTGTCAGTTGTCAGTGACTTTGAACTACAATACCTGATAACACCACTGGTCGTTAGGTCTTTTTTTTTTTCCTGTGTTAAAAACATTGCACATGTGATTTTTAGAAGTGGAAGTGTTCCAAGTCAACAGGGAATGGATATTTAAATTTTTGATAGATACTACCCAATTGCTGCCAAAAAGGCTGTCACTTGGACCAGCTGTGACTGAAGTGGCCCCCTCAACTTAGACCATGGGCAACAGGTGTTAAAAAAAGTTACCTTCTCATTTGCATTTCTGATCACCAGTGAGGTTAAGGTCCCATGAATGTTCACTGTCCATTTGCAGTCTTCTGTGAATGGCCTGTGGAAATCCTTTGCTTGTTTTTCTACGGAAATTTTTTCTTACTGGTGGGACTTTTGTATATAAGGAATATTAACCCCTCTGTCTCATTTGTCTGTGAACTTTGTTATATGGGGTCTTTTGCCATAAAGAAGTTTGGCATTTTTATGTAAATATGCCACTCCACCTTCATGGAGTTTTAAGTCTTACTTAGGAAGACCATTCCTATTTCAGTGATACAAAAATATCCTCTAGTAGTTTTTCTAGATTTTTGTGGCTAAAGTTTAAATTTGTTTAGATTTTTTTTTTTTTTTTTGGTATAGTAGGATGCAGGCATCTGATTCTTTTTTCCAAGATGGAAAAAAGTCATGATACTGTTTACTGAATAATTTTTCCTTTTTTCACGGAAGCAGAATTGCAAAACATGAGGCTTTTTCTTTACGAAATCTAGTTGACATTCCGTTCTGTAAGCTACATTGCAGGCTTACTCAGACCATGATTTTGCTGTTGCAGTGTAGCAAGACCCTAAGTTTTAGTGTTGAGAGTATGTGAAAATGAATTCTGAATTTTACCTTACAGGCTGATGTATTGTGTCCTGTTTGGTACTTGCCCAGGTTTGAATTGCAGTGCCAGATTTTCGTTTTAATGAAGTACTTGGTGGTACTTTAATGATTTTTTTTTAAATTTTATTTATTTGAGAGAGAGAGCGTGAGGCAGTGCATGAGTGGAGGGTAGGGGCACAGGGAGAAGCAGATTCCCCGCTGAGCAGGAAGTCCAACTCCAGGCTCAAACCCAGGATCCTGGGATCATGATATGAGCCCAAGGCAGACACTTAACCAACTGAGCACCCAGCGCCCCACCCCTTTTTGTTTTAATGTCCACCTTATTTTCTGACCGTCAGACAGGCTTTTCTGGACTGTCTCTTCTTATCAGTAACTACTTTTTGTGTAGCAGCTTTGAGTTAATTTATGTGTGTAATTCGGTACACTCACTCTGGAAACGTACTATAGCTTTTCAAACCAGGTTTGCTCTTTGTTACCATGTCCCTTTGGTTGCAGGCCTGGATGACCAGGGCTTGACTAATTTCACCCTATACTCAGTGCGGGTGTTCTGGAACACTTCGGTGTGGCTCTGTGGTGTGCCACCTTGTTGAAGATGAGTCCGATACGTTCGCAAAAAAGTCAACAAGTGGGGTTTGAAAGGGGGACTAATTTTATACTTTATTTCTTCCTGGGGAGAAAAATTCTTTCTTTTTTCTTTAAGATTTTTTTTTATTATTCATTTGAGACACAGAGAGAGAGAGCGCGCATGAGCAGGGAGAGAGGCAGAGGGAGAAGCAGGCTCCCTGCTGAGCCAGGAGCCTGATGTGGGGCTTGATCCCAGGACCCTGGGATCATGACCTGAGCCGAAGCCAGACGCTTAAACATCTGAGCCACCCAGGTGCCCCTCTTTCTTTCTTAATTGACTAATTATGTATTTTTATTGGACAGAAAGAGAGCATAAGCAGGGGAATGGGCCGAGAGAGAAGCAGACTCCTCACTGAGCAGGGAGCCTGATGCAGGGCTCCATCCCAGGACCTGGAGATCATGACCTGAGCCAAAGGCAGACACTTAACCAGTTTAAATTTATGTATGTATGTATGAATGAATGTAAAAGATTTATTTATTTGACAGAGACACAGCGAGAGAGGGAACATAAGCAGGGGGAATGGGAGAGGGAGAAGCAGGCTTCCCGTCGAGCAGGGAGCCCGATGCGGGACTCGATCCTAGGACCCTGGGATCATGACCTGAGCCGAAGGCAGACGCTTAACGACTGAGCCACCCAGGCGCCCCCCAGTTTAAATTTAAATAAGCCAAAAACTGAGCCACCCAGGTTCCCCATGGGAGAAAAATCTTAATGTTCTCTTTATTAAAAGCAAAGGTTTTCTATTGCTGACAGTAATTTGTTTCAGTTAAATGTAATAGCTTGTCCTTTGTTTCTCGGGCATGTTTCTTCAGGTACATGTTTTTCTCCTTACGCTGCAGCCGGTTTTCCCTCCACTTCTTAGGTCCTCAGGCTCCTCATGCCTGCGTGCTGGTGCATCTGCTGCCCTGGAAGCCTCCAGGCCACTCCTAGCCTTGGCACACCTCCGGGACCCTCGCCATGACAGTAACTCAAGCCCCCAATCTGTGCTTAATGTTCTGGAGCTGCGGACTAACTGTTTTCTCTCCACTCTACAGCTTTGACAACTACTCTGCCAATGTTATGGTAGATGGAAAACCGGTGAATCTGGGCTTATGGGATACAGCTGGACAAGAAGATTATGACCGATTACGTCCCTTATCCTATCCGCAAACAGTAAGGATCACGACTGATTTTTAACGTGTCCTTCGGAATGTATTATTTTGCCTGTGTAATTGGGTATCGCCTATGGGTTTGCTTATACAGTTGGCACTTGAACACAGGTTTGATCTGCAGAGGTCCACTTAGACCAGGACTATGTATTTTTCCATAAATACATTACAGTACTGTAAGTATATTTCCTCTTTAAAATTTTCTTAGTAACATTTTCTCTGGCTTATTTTAGTATAAGAATGCAGTGTATTTTACACATAACATACAGAATATATATTAATAGACTGGTCATGTTATTGGTAAGGCTTCCAGTCAACAGCAAGCTGTTTATTAAAAGTTTTCAGGGAGTCACAGTAATACACGGAGTTTTGACTGCATGGCGGGGGGGCAGTGGCCCTACCCTCCTGCGTTGTTCAAGGGCATAAGTAGTAGCAAGGTTAAGTTCAATAGTGAATGTCCTTCTAGATGCGGACCAAGGATTTGTTTCCTTTTTTTTTTTTGGTAGTATTACCGGTTACTTATTGTGGTGCTATGCATTTTACATGCTTTCATTTCAGTTTCAGGACAGCCATATGAAATAGGTACTGTTTTATTCTTGCAAACCAGTTTCAACAGTAATTAGTTTCAAGGTCAGTTTGTAACAGTTTGGTACCATAGAATCAAACTAAACAGTTAAGGTTCTTAAAAATCAAGTTAATGACTTGTCTTTTGGGTTTAATATTTTTCTATAAAACATGCTCATCTTTTATGGCTTTAGTACCTAAATCTCAATGTAGATTCAGGTCTTTTGTAAAGATATGTCCACTGTGTCCAGTCAGAAAAACTTCTAGATTAGTTTTGCTTCCATTTTAGACAATTAAATGATGTATATACCAAAGCGAATCAGATCAATAGCTGGTGAAAATATGCTTAGAAGCCCTTTTCTTGAAATAAGCAATTGTGTTATTTGTACCATTTGCTTATCTTGTTACTTGTTTGTTCATCATTTTAAAAGTATTTTAAAGACTTTTAAAGAGATTCAGGTGACTCACTGGTCAAAGGAATACACAGGTGACTCTGCGCTCAGTCCAGAGCCCAATGTGGGGCTCCATCTCATGACCCTGAGATCATGACCTGAGCTGAAACCAAAAGTCAGACGCTTAACCGACCAAGCCATCCAGGTGCCCCTAAACTTAGTTTGCGCGTGCACAAATAGGGGAAAGGGGCACAGGGAGAGAATCTTCAATCCGACTCCCCACTGAGTGCAGAGTCCTATGTGGGGCTCAGTCTCATGACCTTGAGATCACAACCTGAGCCAAAATTAAGAGTCAGATGCTCAGGACACTCTGGACTGAGCCACCCAGTTACCCCCCGCCCCGCCCCTCTTTTCTAGTTTTAAGCTTTTGAATACAGCTTTTCTATTCAATAGTCATTGCCTTTTGTTATTTATTTCCTGCTGGAGGAATTGCCAAATACAATCTCTTTGAGCTGTGGATTTTTGCTGATTGTCCTTTAGCTGAATTATAGTAATAGTGTTAAACAAAGACCAAGACTATAAAATGGGAGGTCTGAATGAGTGATGTCTCAGTTAATCTCTCCAGCTAAAAATTAACTGTGATTAAGTTTTAAAAATCAGCTCGTAATTACCAAATGGTTTGAGGTCTTCAATTATTCTAACCCCAGTGGGTGCTTGATAATTCCAGATTTTAAGTGGATTTGCTAACCTATTGATTGGTAGAGTAGGAGTCTCCAACCCACTGGATACATCTAGAAGGGCGGGGTGTCACTTCTGAGAAATGAGAACCACCTCCTGTGACTCAAGGGGTCCAGGCAGGGTGCGGCCGCCTTCTCTGAGGAAGTCACTCACAGCAAGTCAAAGGTGACTTGGCAAGATTCCCACTCTGTATGCTAGAGAACACACTAGAGAACGTGTAGATAAAATAAACTGAAGCAAGCCGCAGGGTATGAGGCCTGACAGCCAAGCGGGTGGGGTGTTATCCTTCTGGGGCAGGACTTAAACTATTTATGTCCCATCTGTGTAAGGTGCTATTTTCCTGTCAAATACTTGGACGTCTAAAAGGGAGTAAGGCATGATTCTTGCTCAGGTGGCTCCCACATGTCGTGTGTAACAAACCACGCACCAGCACAGGGGGGTGTCATGGTGCTTAGAGCAAAGAGGGGAGAGCAGCCATCTGGCAGTTAAAGACGCGCCTGCTGGGGATGAGGAAGTTTTCTTGGCTCCTGGGGGGCAGGCCCCAAATGCCGTCCTACCGAGAGGAGCAGGCCTGGTGGTTCTTGGCTGGCACCTTGGCAGAGGGGACGCCTTTAAACTTTGCACTAACTGAAACATGGTCTCCAGTTGTTGACTCTTTGGTCTACAGGCCTAGTTATGTGGCTCATCCATGACTGGGCTCAGACCCTCTCCCGAAGGGATCTCACCACTACTTAGGGCTTTGTGACCCAAAAACAGACGTTCTATTTCCTGTGGTCATTTAACACTGCTGTCCTTCTTTGTGGGGTGGCTCTGGGGAGCGGAGTTAAATCTGTGTAAGGCATTTGTTTCTACTTCTTCTCCAAAAGATAATGAACAGGTGGTACTTTTTAGTAGAAACTGTTCACATTTTTGTTTTTTTCAATTAATTCTTCAGCCTCTTCCATCCTTGAATAAGTTACCTTTATACTCTTTTTTTTTTTTTTTTTAATACTCTCTTTTTTAAAAATACCCTGAGTTCTGCACACTCACCTTCAGTGGCCTGCTCCCCATCACGGTGTGGTCCGAGCAGTGCTCAGGCCCAGCATTGTGCATTGTGTCCGGCCCACCGTGTTTGTCTTCTTGTTCCAGGATTTAGTGGTGTGAACGGGAACCTAGGTGACTTGCCAGAGTCACAAGGCCTGAGCTCTGTGTGGGTTCTCAGAAGCTCACGGTGCCCCACCTGTCCGCTGATACACTGGGCCTCTCCTGTCCTGGGCAGCCGGGTTCCTTCTGTGTGAGCTCATCTGGAGAAAGGGCTAGACTGCTCGACATTGGTCAAAAGGAAAAACAATAGCGTTTAGCTTGGCTGCTTTGATTTTCAAATGGCTTTCTACTTTGTTAAGTTGGCTTTTTACAGGATCTGTGTCCCCTGGCCAAAGGTCACTAGGAACACACCTGTCGCTAAACCAAATTGGGTTTGTCCCTCTGTCCCCAGCGAGACACACACCTTTGGGGCTCTGGGGTGTGCGATTCGGGTGAAGGCTCGAGGAGGCAGGGCTTGCTGTGGATGGGGTGCTCGCGGGAAGCAGGGTAGTTTTAGGGGTGCTCTAATCCATATCCTCTAGAAGGTGGGGATGAAGTGTGGCCAGAGCTGTGACTGGTGCAGACATAAGCACACAGTCTCGTTGGCTGGGAGAGGGGGATGTTTGGTGTTTTTAGTTTGCACGGTGACCTTTCTCTGTGGTCAGACAAGATTGTGAAGTGGTCTTCTATTTATTGCTTTACTTTTGGTCTTATTCCAGCCTGGTCACAGGCTGCCTCCCAGGTGTCAGGCTGCACCTCTCTCTCCAGAGCTTGTTTTCTTAGCAGCTCCCCATGGATGCCACAGGCACAGTGTCTTTGCCCTGTTTGTATGTATACGTTCCTTTTCCTGGTTTGTAGAATGCCTCTAGTGAAAAATGTTCCAAGCCTGAAGTTAAAAACCAGGTGGAAGGTCTTCGGAAGAGGAGAGGAGAGAGCAACGCTGGGTAGTATGTTCAGAGCTAGGAGAGCCGAAAGTCTGCCCGCTGCCATTCTGCTAGGAGCTGACTTGTCTCTTGATGGTGCCCTCCACACATTCAGGGGGAGGCAGTGGTTTTGAGTGAGGGAGAGCTGCTTTGTGATACACAGGTAGTAAAGTCACTGAAGGCATGGTGGGAGCCTTTGTGGTTGGAAATGTCCTGCCAAGCTTGGGGAAGGCGGCGTCCCAGCCAGAGGAAAGATGAGCCTGTGACCCAGGACAGCTCAGGTGGAATAAAGAGGCTCCAGGACACACGGTGACCCCGGGAGGAAGGCTGAGCAGGCCAGGCCACGCCTGGCCCCAGTGGCCCTGTGGCGGAGCTTGGGAGTTTACCAGGATGGGTGTAAACCTGGAGATGCCGCGTAAATACTGAGCAGCACGGACTCTTTGGGGTGTTGGGTTAGAAGGCAAAGGTTGGAACGAATTGCTACTGGAAGAGATAAGTATCAGAAATACAAGGCATTTTATTTTTTAGAAGTGCTAGTTTGTGTTTGTTTTTGTTTTAGAGGGTGGGGAGGGGCAGAGGGGGAGAGAGAATCCTAAGCAGGCAGTGCGGGGCCTGACGTGGGGCCCGACACGGGGCTTGATCCCACGACCCTGAGATGACTACTTGAGCCAAAATCGAAAGTTGGATGCTTAACTGACTGAGCCACCCAGGCACCCCTAGAAGTATTTTTTAAAGCCATATTTTGTCTGGGGGAAGAAAGGAGAAAGGAACAGGCAGATGGCATGTTAATGTAGGATAGAAAGTGTGTTTCTTCATCAAAAAAGATGTTCTTAAAAAATGAAAGGGGTAGAACAGATGTCGTTGGAGGGTATTTTGAGCTGAGGCTGCATTTTTGTAGCCGATGCCCATGAGTCTGTGTGTCACAAAGATTTGGCATCACGTCAAGTTGTCGGGGGCACAAATCTTCAAAAACAGCTCGTAGATTAAACCCGGATAGCTACAGCAATTTTAAATATTCTCACAGTTGCAGATCACAGAAGCTTGAGTGAGGTGAAATTAAAATAATTTTCTTGTCCGATTGTCTCTTAAAAGAATTGTAGGTTTTAATGTTGCTTGAAGAGCAAGTCTTCGATTTTTGTTGGAACAAAGGAAGGAATTGAAAGCATTGTGGTAAACACTAGAAATGCTGTCCCTTCTGGGCAGTCCTGTCCAAAGCTGGGGGGTGGGGAATGAAAGGTCTCAGTGCGTCAGTGCTGTTCACTCCAGTAATGCAGGTCCCTAAATTCAAACCGCACTCCCAGCATTTGGGGGAAGAGAGGACCAGCACGTCTGTATGGGAGACTTGCGGCGTTCAAGGCTCTCAGACCAGACCTGGCCGTGCTCCTGGGGAGCCTTTCCTCTCAGAGGCCTGTTTTTACAGACAGATGCTTTCCCATTTGCGGCGGCTTCAGCTGGACTTAGGTCTCAGAGTTTTTTGATGGAGGTCTTTGACAGGTGTGCCTGTCGCTAGTGGGTGTCAGTGACAGCCTACGGACGCACCTTCATTAAGGACGCTTCCTTAACATTTCCTGACTGGCTGTGACCCGTGTGCTTCCTCAGGCATGTCGTAGCTTCTGCTGGACAAGAGCACTCTGTGCTGCCATGGGTGGGCTCGAGTGCCTCCGTCCTGCTCCTCCCCCCAGCATTGGCCTGACCTCGTGTCGTCACCGTCGTTGACCTTCACAGGGTTTGATGGAGTGCTTGGTGGTATTTGACATCATAGATGTTAGATAATCATCTGCTTTCAGATCCTTTGGGAGGGTTGAGACCGAATTCTGATGAAGAAATAATGGATTATATTGACTTTTATCTTCCTCAGTTTTTACTAAACTCAAACAAAGTTCTCATGCATTACTAGGTTGCAGAAACGTATGGTAAGGATATAACCTCCAGGGGCAAAGACAAGCCGATTGCCGTATGTAAAACTTTCAGTCGACTTCAGTTTCAAGCTTTATCTGTTCTCTCGTTTCACTTAGTTTTCCCAGGATTTCCTATTAAGCCTCACGTTCCTTGAGTGTTTTGTATTTAATTCACTCAAGGCTGGGTTTTGCTTGACCAAATGTGCTTTCAGTAGAGCGAGGCAGTTTACCTATTAGCTTGAATTAAAGCGGTTTGTGAACTGCTTGCTCCCCTCCTGAGGGAAAGGAGGAACTATGAAGGGGCCTTTCTGGGCGGGTTGGAGATGGAGGCGTGGAGGCTCCACCCCGGAGCCTGTGCTTGAGCTGGAGTGGGACTAACCATGGCTGCCCCCCCCCCACCCCCCGCTTTGGTGTCCCGGTGCAGCGGGCCTGTCTGGGGCATGGCTGTGTGGTGCTGGGGAGCTAACCCAACCTTGCTTTGAAATGACGTAATCAGATGCCCAAATGCCATGGTGATTCTTGGATAAGCCTGTGCATGCGCCAGCATTTTTTAAATGTCATTTATAAAAAGCTGTTGTGTGGGATGTTTCTCTCCCTTTCCAGGTACAAGATATCAGCTGGATGATTGAAAGTGTTAGCTTGGGAATTGGGTACATTTCACAAAGTAGCATAGTTGCCTTTTTCCAGGAAAATGTCTTAAAAACCTAGCATTTTAGAAACTCCTAGGCATTTTAAAATATAGGTAAATCTTTAAATTCAGCTTTTTATACAGTACAGAGTGGGACACATGCTTTCCGTTCAGTCAGAAATTCTTCCAGGTATTTACTCTGCACTGACTTTTCCTTTGAACCTCTACTTCAGCTGCAACTGCCCTGCGCTGCAAGTCCTCCAGAGACCCTGCTTGGGTTTGAGAAGCTGACAGCCAGGAAGATGCCCCTCACACGCTAGACCATCCTCCTTCACGGTGGAATGTGCTCACGTAGCAAACAGCTGAGCCCCACTTTGTGCCAGGGACTCTGGTGGCAGTTCCTAAGCAGTTTAATTGCAACCCAGTGGTCAACTAAACGTGTATTGAACGTGCACATGGGGAGCTTACTGAAAAGCATGCCATTGGTAAATGGTTTTAAAATAGACTCTACTTTTGATAAACTGAGACCACATTTTACAGAAAAATCGCAGTGGTATCTTGACACTTGATTTTATCCCTATATGTAAGTAGGGCCATTAAGTTCCTAGTGGGAGTTGGGAATGATGGAAAAGAAGCCTCTTGGGGGTCTGATTTGAGGCCTCCCTGGCCTCCAGTAAACTAGCACATTCCAGTAAATCTCCCTTCTCCCAAGTAACTGGCTGCTTCATGTGCTGGCTCTGCTTTGGGAGCCTTCTGACAACTGAAGGGGTAACGAGGGAGTAAGCTTTAGACACAAGCTGCTGGTACATAACATGCATTTTGTCTCATGATTCATTCCCAACAGCATTTACAAAGCAAAGTGCATTTGTCATTGTAAGGCCATTTCTAAACGCCTCCCTGTTTCCTTTTTATAGGATGTATTCTTAATTTGCTTTTCTCTTGTGAGTCCTGCATCATTTGAAAATGTTCGAGCAAAGGTAAGTGGGGATGTTTTAGAGAAAGATTTTGTTACATAATGTCATTCTTGGGAGGCAAAAATACCATTTAGTGATAGGAGTTTTAATTATTTAAATTGATCTTGTAGTTCCATTTAGGTAGCAAATCAATTTTTGAAGTATAGGACTTCGTTATGTAGAGTTCTAAAGTTTCAGGGTCTGATTCAGAAATGCTGTGTCCCTTGTTAAAATAACGAGCACTTTGGAGTCAGTCTGATGGGGTCGTCTAATAAAAATGGCGACGATGATTTTGCACTCCTGCATCTCACACGCTTCCTAGTGAAACATGACACGGGCAGGATGTCCTTAAGTTGTGATCAGGGATGTGTTCGGTGGGGGTCATGGTGGCAGAGCTGAGACTTCAGTCCAGGTGGAGTTGACTCTCTTCACTGGATTTAGGAAGGATTCTCGGAGATGATAAGAACTTGACTCATTTTACCAAAAGGTAGTTGTTTTGGGAGGGGGACCTTCACTTCTCCCCTTGCTCTTGTTGATGAGTAGGCTCGTTAGTCTTGGGAGTCCAAGCTTGCTAATTGAATGCCCACAGGTAGGCCTGTGGTTCTGGAAGGTATTGCAAGGGGGGGTGAGCAGGGCTGGAGGGCGGGGTGCCGTGTCCTGCTGAGGGCTCTGCAGGGACTAAGGTGGGGTGGCTGACACAGTTTGGCACCCGTAGAAATGGAATTTAGGCGAAGGATGTTCAGGGAGGGAGTGTGTCATGACTTTTTTCCTCTCTTCAATCTAGTGGTACCCCGAAGTGCGACACCATTGTCCCAACACGCCCATCATCTTGGTGGGGACTAAACTTGATCTCAGGGACGACAAAGACACGATCGAGAAGCTGAAGGAAAAGAAGCTGACACCCATCACCTACCCGCAGGGTCTAGCCATGGCTAAGGAGATAGGTAGGAAATCCGCATTTTCACATCTGCTTTGCACATGCTTTTATTTCTGTGGCAGAGACGGGAGTCTAGTCTGGGCAGGTAGAAAGTGAGTCTTTCTGACTCAGGCTCCTGTTGACTTCTGGGGAGCCAGCGAGGCAAGGCCCTCGGTGTGAGCCTTCAGGAGTCGGGCACAGCTCAGGGGTTGCTCTGTGCACCCAGTGGGTCAGCAGGAGGCAGGGCCTGGGGAGCTGCTTCCCGCCGTGGTGGTCAGAAGGGTGGCTCTGCACGTGGCCGGGTGGCTGTACAAGGCTGTGTTTCTCGGCAGGTGCGGTAAAATACCTGGAGTGCTCGGCACTCACGCAGCGAGGCCTCAAGACAGTGTTTGATGAAGCGATCCGAGCAGTTCTCTGCCCCCCTCCCGTCAAGAAGAGGAAGAGAAAATGCCTGCTGTTGTAAATGTCCGGGCCCGCCCCCGCCCCGTCCCCCTCGGAACCTTTGTACGCTTTGCTCAAAAATGGTGGAGCCTTCGCACTCGATGCCAAGTTTTTGTTACAGATTAGTTTTTCCATAAAACCATTTTGAACCAATCAGTAATTTTTAGGTTTTGTTTTAAGTGTAAGATTTCAAACTTTCACATTATATTAAAATTTAGCCCTAAAATGGCAAGCTTTCTTAAAGCCTTATTTTTCAAAAGCCCGTTCTTGCTCAGATTAAGAGTTGCCAAAATACCTTGTGAACTAAGTTGCGTTGTTGTGCTGAGAACACTAAGCACTAAACCGTTCGAGAGCTGTGTCTTTCAGAAGAGCCGGCGGCTCAGGTTTGCCCCGCACACACTCCCACGCTCCTTTCTGGTAGGAAAGCAGCACAGCCTCCTCCCCCAGCTGCGCCGGGAGGCCATCTAACCCCACGCCCTCCCCTAACACTGTACTGTACGTCCTCGTGGAATGAGTGTAATGGCTCAACACTTCGAACCAATCTTTTTGATTTTGTAGTGAGTTTTTGGAAAGTTAATGTATTCGCTTTTGCTGAGATTTTGAACAGACCTCTTCCTCTCGTGTCCCTCCGGCGAAGTGTCCGCTCCAGCTGTGGGCGCCCGGGCCAGGGGGGAGTGCAGCATGTGACGCGATCAAATGAAGACAGTATTTTGACAAAATACAGAGGTTAATTTACACTACATTGTACACGTCCTAATTAAACTGAGTAAAAGTGTCACGGGTAAAATGTTAAAGGTTAACTTCTGTCCAATGCAGTAAATGATGAAGGTCGGTATTATCACTGTTTAAGCTTTTCCTTTTTCTTAGACCTGCCATCCCTCCTGAAATTGGGCATTTAATTCATCTTTGAACTGGTCGTTCCCATAGTTGCTAACTTAGTGCTTTTCTTATAGAACCCCTTCTTAATGAGCAATATGCCTCCTTGTATTATAAAATCTTTCTGATAATGCATTAGAAATTTTTTTTTTTTGTAGATTAGTGAAAGTGCATTTCTGCTTCCTTGTTACTTTATTCAGAGCTAATAAGCGCTTTCCTTAGTTTTCTAGTAACTAGGTGTAAAAATCATGTGTTGCAGCTTTACGGTTTTTGAAATATTTTAGATATTCCTAAACTACGAACTTTCTTAACATCACTGTCTTGCCAGATCACCAATACTGTACCCTGACTAATGCTGGCCCTCCTCTCTGCCTCACCTCCCTGGACACACGCTTCCTCTTGCTCTGCCTGACCATGTTCCCTTGGGTCTGTGAGGTTCTGTAAGCCCGTGCTTGTGCTAACGAAGTTCTGTACAACTTACCCACTGGCAAGAATATAAGGTTGGACCTCTCAACCACTAGAACAACATTTTTTAAATTGACAGTTGCAGGATCGTGGAGTGTTTTTACATTGATCTTTTGCTAATGCAATTAGCAGTATGTTTTGCATGTATGACTTAATAAATCCTTGAATCATATGACTGTAATACTTGAATTCTTGAGAACAACCTCCTGGGGTATGTGTTCAGTTGTCTCACCTGAAAATCTTGGGTTGTTGGAAACAATTTCTAGTGCATGTTTTTCATGCTGGGGGGACGGGGAGGGGCCCCCCAGGGGGGGAGCTGGAGGAGTCCGCAAGCACTGGTGGGGGGGGCAGTTTGGGTTTTGCACCTGTCAAATGCTGGGGAGATGGTGACATCCGCACTGGGGTACATGTGCATGCACATCTTGGGCCCGAGCTCTGGGCTGAAGAGGCAGATTTTTGGGAGGTAGGGAGGAGGCTGAGTAGGACCTTAAGGTCCTTGCCAGAGCCTGAAACTGTACTATGAACTTGTCATGTTAGAATCAATTCTCTAAATTATCCTTTTTATTGCTCTGAAGATTGCTTTAGTTTTGAGCATTTTTTAAAGATAAATACGCAGTTTAAAGACCACGTAGTTCCAAAGGTTTGCTACAAAAACATCAGCCTTCTCCCTTCACACCCTCCCCAAAGGCAACCAATTTGAATTCTTTTAACTAATTTTTGTTATTTACCTCCATATGCCTAAGTGACATCTTTTTTTTTTTACCTACTAGATCACCAGTTTATTAAAGGATAGAATTCGAACAGCCCGATGGAAGAGATGCCTAGGGTCAGGTATGGGGGAGGGACACAGAGCCCCCTCCCCAAATCTCCACATGGCTCACCCACCTGCAAGCTGCACCCCCCACCGTGCACCCCCCCTTTTTTTCCCCTGCAGGCTTTCTTACATAGCTGTGCCTATTAAATGACAGGCGGTTTGTTTGATTCAATCTCCAGCTCCTCTCCCCTCCCTGGGGGTCAGGCTAAGTCACTTTATTGCTGGTTGCATTTTCAGTTTTGGCTGTTATCACAGATAATCTGTGCATGGCAGCACCCCCCCCCACACACACACAAGAGAATGATTGGGTTGGTAGTCACTATTTAGTATGTTACTGTGTGAATATTCCTAGCCGAGCCGTGGAATAACAATTTGGCTGCACAAACTTCTGGTTTCTTTAGGGATAATTTGTACTTTATCTGCTTCATTTTCTGTGTGCTTAATGATTTAAGTGAACTTCCATCTGCAGTCTAAATCTCTCAAGATGATTGTATTACGTGTTTCACTAATTTTCATTTTCCTAAAGTCTCAGAATCCTCTGGCCACCATTTCCCGATGTGCTGATCTTTAGTATAATCCCCACGGCTAACGTGGGGCTCGAAGTCACGGCCCTGACATCAGGAGTCGAATACTCTACTGACTGAGCCAGCCAGGTGCCCGACTCCTTTTCTAATTTGCTTCATCTTGAACAACAACTCCAAGAGTTTCCTGAGAAGTGTGTGGGAATCTGTTTCTCAGCCCTTGTGTCTTTGAAAATAACTTTGTTCTCCCCTGGTCCTTTCTGGCTGGTTGGGAATTCCGGGGTGGAAATGCGTTCCCCTCAGTTTGGAAGGCAACTCCCTTGGATCTTCCTTGGCCGTTGCTGTTACGTGGGGTGAACTTTTGTTGACAAGTTCTGTGGGCTTTTTTCCCCGTTTTGCACATCCTGGGCTGCTTTTCTCCTTTGTGCTTGGGTGGGCTTCGTCTGCCACCGTGCAGCTATCTACCACCCAGCTGCTCTGGAGGTCCACCTGTGATGCTTTGAATTTTCAGGCATTCTTTATTCTCCACTTCTCAGGCTCAGGATCTGTTTTGTGGTTACAACACTTTCTCTGTTCCCAAGCTGTAGCCAGGTAGTTTCTCCCAGTCCCTTGTTCTGTGTGTGCCCAGCAGTCACTGGCCCATGCTTAAAGTTGAGAGCCCATAAAAGCAGATTGTGGGGGCGCCTAGGGGGTGCAGGTGGTTAAGTGTCTTGACTCTTGGTTTTGGCTCAGGTCATGATCTCAGGGTCCTGGGGTCGAGACCTTGCGTCGGGTTCCCTGCTCAGCATGGTCTGCTTGGGATTCTTTCTCCCTCCGCCCCTCCTCCTCCTGCTTGCTCTCTAAAATATGTTAGTCTTAAAATTGGGGGGTGGGGGCAAGAATGGAAACTGGGCACCATGGTGGTGTCAAGGGGTGTCTGAGAGCTCTTAGCTTTCTGCCACTAGGAATGTACAGGAATTGTGTTTAGAAACAAAACCTGTGGTAGTTGGACGCCATGACATTTCAGAGTTTTTTAAATGGGCTTTTGCAGGTACTCAAGAGGCTAAGGTGGTATTGGTGTGATGGCCGAGAGGCCCCAAGGGAGGGGTCTCTAGAGGTCAGGTTGCCCTGGAGAATCTTAGATGTCTGGCATCTTGTCTCAGTGTGAGAAGCTGAGGAGCACCATCCCCTTGCCTCCCGCTGCGCTGCTGTCCAGGGCCCCCTCCCCACAGAGCAAACCAAGGGCCAGATTTCCTCCAGCTTTCAAGTGAGCCATCTCACTGTCACTGATCCCCTGCTCTGCTAGGGGGGAGGGGCCGGAGTTGTAAACCAGGGTAGTTCTGGTCTTTCCTCCTCCACTTAGGATTCTCTTTACCTCTAGTCAACCAACTGTTCCTTTTCTTCTTTCCCCATCCTTGTGGGTTTATGCTTTTAAAGAGATCCACTTACTGTCATTTTCTGGCACTTCAGTGGGGTTAAATCAGATGCCCGTGTGATCTCCAACCTTTGGAGATCTCCAACCTCTTGGAGCCCAGAGCTCCAAGAAAGCTTAAGGCTGCATTTTTGTTGTTTACAGTAGATAAAAAACTTTTAAAACAGGACTGCTATACAAACTACCCAGTAAAACAGACCTTCCTGGAAACGTCCAGTGGACGAGTACATCACTGTCCAGACACGAAGGACACGTGTAAGTGCTTTATTAACTCCCTCTGAATCCACTGGCTGACCTCCAAAAGCCAGAACACTATGTGCAAATGAAGCAGTGAGCTTGATGTGGAGACAGTGCTCAGGGGCAGGGGTCCCAGTTCCCAGCCCGACCTCAGGGCCACCCAGGAGAAAGCCCATCTGTGCAGCCAGGAAAATCCAGTTTGCAAAATAAATTGCACAGCCGTATGCCCAGGTCAGACTCCTCTCAACAATGGTAAGACCCTGTCAGTCAGTGAAAAGGTGGTGTCAGGGGTGGGAGGCTGAGCCATCAGGGTCTTAAACCTGGCCTTGGGTTCCCACCCTTTCCTGGGGGCAGTTCTCAGATCACCAAGGAATGGCCCTGGAACTTCCTGGAGCCTCCCGAAGCTTCCAACGTGAGCCCCATCCTCCGTGCTCTCTCCTGATAACTGATCGTGTTAATACTGGGATCAAAAGGACTTCCCAAATTATTCAGTGATTTTAAGAAGACCATCCAATTCCTACTGATGGACATTGCATCACAGGAATCACTGATTTTGTGAGTTTAAGAAGTGTCAGTCTGTCGTCCTGGAGCAGTTTGCATGAGCCCCAGTTACACCATGTCCACATTCGAGCTGCCTCGGGCTGGGCAGAAGACGTAGCCGGCCCTGTCTGACACCACGCTGTCCAAGGCTTTCATCAGGACGTGGGGCATGTGGTCTGTCAGCATCTTGGGACCGATGAGTATTTTGCTGAATTGTGATTCGTGTGACCACCTGGCACTGTACTGAGCAGCAGAACGCCAAAACCTGGGAAAGACAGAAGGTGAACTGGCAGAGCGGCCCTTTAGGTGGAAACCTGTGCATTTTCGATCTGTGTGGACTGAGCCCCGTCTGCTCCGTGGCCATGAGGCCTGCACTTACCTCCCTGAAGCACCTTCTTCCTCCAGGTGGATGATCCTGCCGGGAGGGTAGAGAGGGGGGTACTTGGTGGGGGACTCCAAGGGGGAGTCGCTGGAGAAGCTGTAGGTCGGGGACCCGTGCGTCAGCAGGCTCTGCTCCCCCAGAAGCGGCTGCGTCAGGTCTCCCTGGGCGCCCCCGTCCAGCTCCGTCGGAAAGTTATCCGGGCTTCCTCCAAACAGCTCATACCAACACCCGTACAGCAAAATCTGGTACTGGCCGAGAGACCCAAGAAGGCAGCCTGCTCGTTACTCTGACGCTTTCACTGTCAACACAGACCTCTGCCCCAGAAGCTCGTGCCAGAGGACGGTGACCCTCAGAGCTCAGACTAATGGTCTAAATCCTGGATCTTAGGGGCGTGGAGGTCAGTGGCCTAAACTCCTGCGTCTCTTGGGCCATGAAGCCGTATCAAACATGAAGCAATACGTAAAAACCAAATCCTGCCGACGAGCTTTACTCTTTCCCTTCATGACATTTATTAATTTTTAAAACTCAGTGGCGGGGGATAGTTGGGGGTAAGGAGAGGCTTATTTTAAATAAAAAGAATTTGAGTAACAAGCATAAAAAATGTCAGAAAACTGGTTAAAATCACTTCTAAATCACCCCTGCCTTAGGGGATATATCCCCGAAGAATCATTTTTAAACCTGCCCTTTAAAAAAAAAACCAAAAAACTTTTCAGTACATCACTGCTATCTTTCTCTAGTGGTCAACGAAAACTTGCGTCACCATTTTTAACGGCTATAATATTCCACAGCACACACACACTAGTACTTCTTCAACTCTGTTCGGCAGCCTTATTTTCTAAGCTTTAGGACCAAAAGCATCAAAATACTGTTGGTCACAAGACAGGGCTAAGAGAGTATGACAGAAAGCAAATCACGTAACTAGAACAGGGATGGTTCTACTATAGTATTTTCTAACTGTGGCATTTCATGACTGACAGCCGTTTGCTTTCTTCGGCGTCATCTGTAGAAGCACAGGAGTCTGTGTGGAGGGTCAGAGAGAGGTTCAGGCGACGGCATCAAATGCCCCGCTCGAAGAGGCTGTGAGTTTACAAACTCTCCTTGGCGCACAGCCTCAAACTCCTTAGACCCTCTTAGGGGGCCCCGCAAGTTACCTTGGGCTTGTTACAGTGAGCAATCACTCGCAAGATTCTCTTCTTCAAATCTTCCAGGTTAGTCACACTTAACCTGTTTGTTAGCAAAAGACCAGATTGAGCCTCAGTACTTGGTCTTTCAGCTGCTGCAAGCCCAGATGGAGCATCCAGCTGACTCACCTGGGAATGACATCCTTGCCTAGGACAAGTGACACGATGAAGTTCTTAGAGTATTCATAAAGGGATTTGCTGAAATTTCAGGAAAAAAAAAATTAGTGAAGTTTCAGGATTATATTGCCCACAAAGAACTCCAAAGGGAAATCAAGTAACTTTGCCAGGTCAGTGAGGTAAGTTTTCAGAGTATAAAACTGTTCTCTACCCTTTAAAGGAAAAGGGAAATAAAATGGAGATACTCTGATCACAGCAACTCGTTTGCCAGATTCTAGTAAAGCCACAACATGCACCAACCAGATCGAGATGGCAGACCGAGGAGCCTATGCTTGCATCCTTTGACCCAGCGACCCCTGCTCGGAGCAATCTAACAAAGACGCTCGAGACGCAAAAGGCTATTCACTGTAGCTCTTACTGCTTGTCTTAGCAGAGGCTCCAACCCCAAATGTCCATTTGTGGAGAACAGTTCAATTCACAAACTCCGGCCCGCCCGCAGAGTACCCAGTCCTTCACGGTGTGTGCTCTGGGGGGTGATCCCAGGATGTGTGGTCAAGTCAAAACAAGCAGATGCACAAGGGCATGAAGCGTATGCTACCTTTTATCTAAGAGGGGAAGGGATGCAAAGATAAACATACTTGCTTTCATATATAAATGAGAATAATGGAAAACTAAGTCAAACACTAATGGCTACCTTAGGGAACAAGGACAGAAAGGGACATTTCTGAATGTAACTTGTTTATAGAGTTACCTGTGGAACCATGTCATTGGTTTATATAATTGTAAAAATTAAAACAAAAGCAATTCCTAAAATCAAAAGCCAAATGAAAGAAATGAACCTAAACAGTGCTATTAACCAAAAAGAAGAATTATTTCAAGTGACTACAACAACAGAAATCTGGCTGTACATCCCTAGTGGGAACATCACATAAGAACAAAACAAACTACAAAAAAAAATCTCAAACTGCCTTCAGCAATCATTCTGAAACTGATCCATCAGTCTGTGTTTTCTAGGACATACAGCCAACAGTGCAGAGGAGCGTGTTAAGTGACACGGTGAATATGCATGCAAGAGAAATCCAGAATGTGGATTCTCCAGAACTAACCTGGTTTCAGAAATAAAGAGGGAACTGAAATATCTATACATTAATGGAGAGTTACATAATTTCCATGTCTGTGTGGATCCCTTGTACACATGCTTTTAAATGTGATTTAAAAACAAAAATACAGTTCCAAGACAAACCCACCGCTGGGGGGTGGGGCGGTGGAAGGGACCAGTGGCAAACGGACACAGGACATCCAATCCAACCTTGTTTGGAATTTAAAAAAATTAACTGTAAAACATTTATGAGATAATCAGGAGAACATGATCAATTATTGGAATTAAATTTTAAGTGCTCTATGCTTTAGAGACACATTAGGGTATTTCCAGATGAATGATAGGTCTCAGATTTGCTTCAAGGTACTCCAGCCACGGGGATCTGTGGGAAGTACAGTGGGGTACACTAAGATTGGTCATGTTAACAAATTATTGACGCTGATGAAATGGTGGCTGCTTATACTATTTACTTTGGTTTGAATTTTTAATTTTTGTATGAAAATTCCATTAAAAGGCAATAGTTTTAACAGATCATCATAAGCACCAAAGAGAGAATCAGTGAACTAGTAAACAGATCTGAAGAACTATCCAGATCGTAGCACTAAAAGCAAAGATACAGAGGTACGGACGAGAGGTTAGAGATGCGAAACAAGAGCAAGGGGCGCGATGCCTGGTGGGAGGCTCTCAAAGTGGGAGAACGGAGAAGAGGCCGTCACGTGTGACTAGGCCTTCACAGATTTGAGAATCTAAAACTTTCAATCGAGAACACTGAAGACCATATGCACTTCAGATTAAAGCAAGCACCCACATAACCTGGATGCGTCTTACTGAGTAAAAGAAAATGCAACCCAATCCTGCATACTGTAGGATTCCATTTTTATGACCTTCTGAAAAAGGCAAAACTACAGTGACAAAAAAATCCTTGTGCACCTGGGGGGGTGGGGGGGTGGAAGGGCTGGATGGCAAAGGGACACAGGACATTTTAATGGTGATCCTATCAGCCCCGAAAGGCAAAAAGACAAAACTGTCATTCATGAAATCAGTTAAAAAAAATCTGCAGATGAATGATAATTAATAAGCAAATTTAACAAGGCTGTTGGATACAAGATCAAAAGACAAATTTCTATGAGCTTGATACATGTCAGCAAAAGATGTGTAAGACTATGGAGAAAATCATAAAAAACTGAAAGATATTCAAGAGTCCCTAAATATCTGAAAACTGACTTCATGTTCAAAGGTGGGAAAACTCAATAATACGTCACTTACCTCTCAACTGAACTAGAAAATAAAGGCAGTTGAAATAAAAAGTCTAAGCTTTTTGTTTATGGAACTTGCAAAATGATTCTTGGGCTAAGAATAGCCAACAAGGCTTTTTAGCCAAAAAACATCACAAAAGTGGAAACTCCACAGCCAATAAATACATGAAAAGAGCCCCAATTTCATTAGCCATCATGGACACGCAAATCAAACCACAATGAAACATCACTGCACACCCATTGCACTGGCAAAAAAAAGTTTTAAATCTGAGATTAACTGTTGGTGGGAACGTGGAGCGTGGCGGACTCAAATACACTGCGGGCACACGTACGCTGGCGCAGGAGCACGGGTATGTCACACACGAAGGGGGGGCATGTGCACACGCGTGCTTAGTAATTCCCACCTCGATCTACACCCAGAGGGGGTCAAACAACCGACGTCCCTTCGCAGCGACACAGACCATTTGTGATCCATGCACGATGAGACAGAACCAGAACGGACAGAATCACGTCTTACAGGCATCAAACAATGGGGAACAAAAAAGGGAAGTCACAGAATAAAATTAAGTACGATTCTAGTTCTGTAAATTTCAAAAAAAAAAAAAAAATTTTTTTTCAAAACCATACAAAGCCAAATTATTATGTGGAGACCTGCATATAGGTGGTAAAACTACCTTAAAGCAAAGGAAGAATTTTCACAAAGATCAGGACGGTAACGCTCTGTGGCCGGGAGAGGAGAGGATGCTCAGGGAATTTCGAAGGCACTGACTGCTCTTGTTTCTCAACCTGGGTACAGAGTTGTTTTGTTTTGTTTCGTTTTTGAGAGAGAGAGCACGAGCAGAGGGAGAAGCAGACTCCCCACTGAGCAGGGAGCCCCATGTGGGGCTTGACCTGAGCTGAAGGCACATGTTTCACCGACTGAGCCACCCAGGTGCCCCGAGTGTGTACATTTTTAAATTGGCCTTACTGAGGTATACACCGCAGAATCACCCACTCTAAGCGTACAGTGAGTTCTGACAAATGCATTTAACTGTTTTAACTACCAGCACCATCAAGATAAAGAGCATTTCCATCACCCCCAAAAAGCTCCCTGTGTCCCTTGGCAATTAATCCCACCCCCAACCCCAGACAACCACTGGTATGCTTTCTGTCATCATGTACTTCTGTCTTTTCTAGAAGGTCACATAAATGGAATCTTACAATAGGTCTTTTGTGTAGGGCTTTTTTCAGACAGCAAAATGCATCCAAGCTGTATGGATGTTTGTTGCTTAGTTTCAAAAATATGTTTTATGTTGTTTCACGATTTATAAATTCAGGTATTTTTTTTTTTTTAAGATTTTTATTTATTTATTTGAGAGAGAGAGAATGAGAGATAGAGAGCATGAGAGGGAAGAGGGTCAGAGGGAGAAGCAGGCTCCCTGCCGAGCAGGGAGCCCGATGCGGGACTCAATCCCAGGACTCCAGGATCATGACCTGAGCCGAAGGCAGTCGCTTAACCAACTGAGCCACCCAGGCGCCCCAAAATTCAGGTATTTTTAAAGTCACTCATGTCTTTTCATATGTACAAGTATGTATTTTAAAATAGAACTTAGGGGCACCTAGGTGGCTCAGTGAAGTGTCTGCCTCTGGCTCAGGTCATGATCCTGGGGTTCTAGGATAGAGCCCCACATCGGGCTCCCAGCTTAGCCAGGAGCCTGCTTCTCCCTCTCTCTGTGCCTCCCTCTGACTCTTGCTCTCTTGCACATGTTGTCTCTCAAATAAATAAGATCTTTAAAAAAACTTAAAAAGAACTTCTAAAAATGTAAAAAGTACACCAATATTTATATATAAATATAACAGACTTACAATAATGAGAAAAATGAATGTAAATATCCATCAGTACACTAAATAAAAATGCCATAACCAGATGATAGAATACTAAGCAGCTCTATAAAAAACATGTTCTCAAACAATATTTAAGGATATAATGCATACAGATTATGTTAATTTGTAATACACACACACACACAGCTGAAAGTAAACAAACAAATAGTTACAATGGTGAATTCTGGGTAGAAGATCTTTGATCTTTCAACCTTTTCATATTTTCCAAAATTTCTATGTTGGATACAAATTTATTTTTTCCTCCCTTTTTTCCTTCTTTTCAATTGTAGCACAAATTTCTTTTAATAATCAGGGCAAAGATTATACAAGATTAAGTATGTTGAGTAAGAAAGGAAAAATGTACTTTTCTTTTTTTTTTTTTTTTAAGATTTTATTTACTTATTTGACAGAGACACAGTGAGAGAGGGAACACAAGCAGGGGGAGTGGGAGAGGGAGAAGCAGGCTTCCCGCTGAGCGGGGAGCCTGATGTGGGGCTCGATCCCAGGACCCTGGGACCATGACCTGAGCTGAAGGCAGACGCTTAACGACTGAGCCACCCAGGCGCCCGAAAAATGTACTTTTCAAACCTAAAATAATCAGTAAACAAATTCAATAAAGTTGTAGGATAGGACACAAATCGAGAGAGACAACTTGGGGAGTCTTGCAGGGTCAGTTCCAGACTGCTGCGGTAAAGCAAAACTGCAACCCAGCGAGGCAAATGAATTGTTTGCTTTCCCAGGTGCGCGTAAGGTATGTTTACACCACACTGAGGTCCGTTAAGTGTGCAATAATGTGTCTAAAAAGCCAATGTACATACTTACATTAACAAATATTTTATTGCTAGAAAATGCCAACCACCATCAGAGCTTTCAGCGAGTCAGTCATAATCACGGGTCCCAGATCAACATAACAAAATATGAAATAATGAAAAGATTTGAAATATTGCCAAGAACTATTAAATGAAACAGAGACACAAAGTGAGCAAATGCTGTTGGAAAAATGGCCCCGACAGACTTGCTTTTAAGGCAGAGTTGCCACGAATCTTCAATTTATTTAAAGAAAAAAAGAAAAGAAAAAGCAGTACTTGGAAAGCACAATGAAACAAGGTATGCCTGTCTGCAGAAATCTGAATAATGAACTATCAGAAAAATAAGAAATCAATCCCACTTAACAGTTGCACCAAAAAAATATGAAGGAATAAATTTAGCCAAGGAAGTGGAGACCTGCCCATAGTAAGACGCTGATGAGAGAAACTGAAGACACAAATGAATGGAAAGATGTTCCGTGCTCACGGACTGGAATAACGATACCGTTAAAATGTCCAAACCACCCAAAGCAACCCGGAGTCAGTGCAATCCCTATCAAAATTCCAATGGCATTTTTCAAGAAATAGTCCAAATAATCCTAAAATTTATGTGGAACCACAAAAGGCCCTAAATAGTCAAAGCCATCTTTAGAGGGAAGAACAAAGCTGGAAGCCTCATGCTCCCTGACTTCAAACTAGGTTATAAAGCCACAGTAACCACAACTGTATGGTACTGGCAGAAAAACAGACGCAGAGCCCAGAAATACACCCACGTAACTGACAACAAAGGAGCCAAGAATATACGATGGGGAAAGGACAGTCTCTTCAATTGATGGTGGTGAGAAAACTGAAGCCATGTGCAAAAGGATGAAGCCGGACCCCCAGCTCACGTCACACACGCAGAAATTAACTCATGACAGATTAAAGACCTGAATATGAGACCTGAAACCAGAAAACTCCTAGAAGAAAACAGGCAGTAAGCTCCTTGACATTGGTCCTGATGATGATTTTTTAGATTTGACACCAAAACCAAAGACTACAAAAGCAAAAATAAACGAGAGGGACTGCATCCAACTGAAAATTTTCTGCACGGCAAAGGGCACCCCCAACAAAAGGAATGGGAGGAAGTGTGCAAATCCTCTGACAAGGGGTTGATACCCAAAATATATAAGGAATTCACACAACCCAACAGCAAAAAACCAGTAAGATTAAAAAAATGGGCAGAGGATCTGAACATTTTCCCCAGAAAGACCCACACACGACCCACAGGGACGTGAAAAGGTGGCGCAACATCACTACTTAGCAGGAAATGCAAGTCAAAACCATGGGGAGATCTCACCCTCCCACCTGTTAGAATGGCTAGGATCAAAAACAAAAAGCCCCCCAAACCCAGAAATGTCAAGTGTGCGTGAGGATGTGGGGAACAGGGAACACTCACGTGCTGCTGGGGAAAACAGTACGGAGGTTCCTCAAAAAGGGAAAAGTAGAACTACCGTAGCATCTGGCAATTCCACTTCCGGGTCTGCACCCGAAGGAAATGAAAATACCGATCTGAAGAGCTGTCTGCACTCCCGTGTTCACTGCACCATTATGTGCACTAGCCGATGCATGCAAAGCACAACGTAAGCGTCTGTCGGCACGTGAACGGATCAGAGTTGTGTGTGCACATACGTACGCGATGGCCATGAAGCAATGAAAATGGAATAAAGCAGAAGGAAATCCTGCCATTTGTAACAACGTGGATGGACCTTGAGGGCATTATGCTCCACGAAATAAGTCACACAGACTTCTTTATCCTTACGAATACTATAGGATCTCACATGTGAAATCTAAAAAAAAACAAAAACAAAAAAAACCCCAAAACCCAAAACCCAGCTCACAAATCTAGAGAATGAGGGTCGGTGGCTGCAGAGGTGGGGCTTGTGGGACAGGAGAAGGGAGTCAAAGGGCACAAACTCCCAGTTATAAATATAAAAGTCACAGTCACTGATGGGGACAGAATACACAGCTTGGCAACTCCAGTTCACCTGCTGTGCATCTGAAAGTTGCTAAGAGAAAAAATCTTCAAGGCTCTTACCACAAGAAAAAAAAAAATGAACTCCGTCACCACGAAAAGTGATAGATATGCTCTTCTGCGTTACTTGCAATCACGGCGCCGTATGCAAATTCCAAATCGCTACCTCGTGCATCTGGCGCTGATGCCAGGCTGTATGCCCACCACACCTCCGTTTACATTAGAAGCTCGGCACCCTCCGCACCGTGTAGGAAAGCAGAGGTCCGCTCACACAGACCTATGAAAGGCTCTCCAGTGTGTCTCCAACTGAACAGGGCCTGAAACAAACCGGTGCCGTGGACGCGCGAGCAGAATGAAATCACAGAGGCGAGAGCAGCGTGGCGCGCGTGCCCCCGGCCCACACGCACATACCTCAGCAGCCCCCTGGGCGGGGAGAAGGCGTAGCAGCGGATCTGCGGGTACGAGCTCCGGAGCATGATGGCCAGCAGGGCCGCGGCGCCCGCCCCCAGGCTGTGCCCCACCACCACCAGCCGGTACTCCTGCAGGCCAACAGAGAATGCGGCACAGTGAGGGCAAAGGAGCAAACTGCGGACGCATGACAGACAATGAGAGAAAAGACAAATTAGAATCTCACGGGAGCAATGCTGAATGCTTGGCTCAAAATCCCATCATTGACGAGGCGCTGGTAAACGTATCTGGCGGCTTGAGAAATCCCCTAAAAATGCAGACAAGAGAAGGCGGCTGTTGGTCATAGGACGAGGCAGGTTCTGTCCCATGACAGGGCTATGCCGTGCACGCTTCTGCGTCTCCCCAAAGCCGAGGTGAGCGTCAGGGGATCGGCGGCCGCAGCTACTGCGCCCCGCCGTGCTCCTGGTCCCCGGCGCAGGGTTGGGCGTGGAGCGGGTGCTCCGGGACTAGTTCCGGGGACGAAGGAATGGGTGACATCCACACCTTTCCAGCCACCGGATCTTTCTGTGGCTTTTCTGTAGCCACACGGTATTTTGCTGTATGCACGGACCACAGTTTACTTCGGCCAAGTCCCGATGGCCAGTCCCATTTAGATGATAAATGATTGATCTTTTAACGAAACGTTAAAACATAAAATTCTGAAATGGTGGTAACTGATTAAGCATCCTGTTTCTGCAGAGGCAAAACGAGGACCACTGGAAGCTGAGTTCTAGGGAGGTTAGGTTTTAATTTCAGAGAAAAAATAAAACATAAAACCTAACAAATACAGCTGCCCTGAAAACCAGGCTTCCTGAAAGTGAAGCCATCTCCACGGAGGACAGAGCACCCCGTGGACGAGATGGGCCTGTCTTCTCTCCCGGCACCGAGCGGGAGAGATCCTGGGCCGAGACGGGAGACTCATGGCTGCCTCGAAAGCTCCTGCCAATTCCCGAGTCGGTCACTACCGAGGTCCGTGGGAGAAGGCTGACCCTGGCCACATCCAGGAGAAGCTAAGAGGAGATTTGACGCGTTTACCGTCTGAGAAGAGCACTTCCTGACGGACCACCGCGCTTCCCGGCCTCCCCTGCGGCCGGCTGTGCAGCCACCTCCCACCCGCCGCGGGGACCGACCACATGTCCGCCTCGGGACAGCTGAAGCCAAAAGGGACCTGGACACAGCGGCCGTGGCGGAGGCCCTGGCCAGCATCCCACACACAGACACCCCCCTCCCCCCGCCACCCCCGGAAAGGCCACGACTGCGTTCCGCGGCACAGCTTCGAACTCTGACTGCTCTGGCCGGGGTCAGAGGCGGAGAACAGCTCTGCCCTCAGGCCCGCCGCCACCACTACCACCGCCTTCCCGACCCGAGGGAGCTGCCCCCCGCGGGAACCGGGCTGGAGGAGGCCAGGCCCAGAGCACACCTGGTGCACGCACAAAGCCTCGACCTGCGGGCTGATTCTAAGAACACAGCCGCAGCCCAGGCCACAGGATCCTGCCGGGTATTGTGTGGTTGGCGAGCTGATGTGTCGCTGTAAGAAAGTAGAACATTTCTCTTTGTTTTTCTTCACACGTACCCAGTAATGACACTGGAGTCTTCGGTGACTTGAGGCCCCAAAAGACAGTTAAGGGTTAAAGGGGAAAATTCACATTCCCAGGACTGTCCCACTTCTAACTGGTGGCAGAACGAAAGCCTCCAGTCTGGCTCCAGTCCGGCCCCGTCCTGAAAACCGTCCAGGTGGGACCCCGGGGCTCCATCAGCTACACTCTGGCTCTGACACACGTTTTTATAAAGATTACACATTTTACTTAAAAAACGATCACCACAGAATACGGGCTTTGGTTAAAAAACAAAGTATATAAAAACAGCACAGGCCCCCCGCCCTCCACCCCGACATCCCTCTCCCCGGAAGGAGCTGCTGGAACCTCTGGGATCGAATCATTCCTTCAAATGTGCAAACGCTCTGCTCTGCAGCCTGATTCGTCATCCGGGAGACGTGAGCCCAAACCACAGTGAGATACTGCCGCGCACCCACTGGCACATCTGGCTGGAAGCACCAAAACCCAGAACGTAAGCGGCGACGAGCATGTGCAGAACGAGGGCCTGGCCACTCGCTGGTGGGATGTGAGATGCTGTAGCTGCACTGGAACACGGCCCGGTGGTCCCTCAAAACGCTAAACGTGGCAACCACCACCAGACACGCAACCCCACTTCTGGGCAGGTTCCCTAAAGCACGGGAAGGAGGGACTCAAACAGCTGTCTGTCCATCCCTGTTCCCAGCAGCAGCGCTGACAGCAGCCAATGCCTGGGCGTGACCCCCACGTCCATCCGCAGACGAACGGATCAAGCAGAGGTGGTCCCTGCACACAGTGGGGTGTCGCTCAGCCAGAACGGGAAGGGGGCCTCTGACACATGCTACCACCTGCATGCACCTCGAGGACACTGTGCTCGGTGAAAGGACAAATAGCTGCATGACTCCACTTCTGGGGGATCCCGAGAACGAGCGCCCTGGGGGGGCACTGGGTTACCAGGGGCTGGGGGTGGGGTGGAGCGGGGCCATCACTCACGGATACGGAGTTTATGTTTGGGGTGATGAGAAGGTACAGAGCCTCCTACGTGTCTCCGCCGCCACCGAATCAGATACTTACAAAGCGAAAGGGTTGCAGTGATAAACATCATGTCACATAATTAAAACCCTTTTAAAAAACAAGTCCGCCTGAGGCAGGCCGTTTCTGTCCCGCACAGTAAGACTGAAAGGAGAACCTTGTGTTGTGACACCGGCGGAGGGAGCCGGCCGGGCCACAGGGAAGTGCTGCGGGAGCCTGCCGCTGGGGGGGGGGGGGGCGGGGGGGCGGGCCGGGGGGGGGGGGGGGGGCTGTGGGGATGTGGGAGGGGCTCCCGGGTTGGGGGGCCTGTACTCAGCTGAAGCTTCTCTTCTCTTCTCCACAATATAGGACTTCGGTCAAGGGAAGAGCGTTCGACTGGGGTTCAAATGCCAACTGACACTATTCAATAACTGTGTGGCCTCTGGCAAGTCCCTCGATGGTTCTGAACCTGCTCCTTTCTCTTAAAAAACCAAAGCAACCTCATGAGGTTGTCATGAGAATTTCTACGAAAAGAATGGAAAGCACTTACTTTGCACAGCACTTGGCACCTGGTGGCTATCTGCTGTGTGGTTAGCATTCCCGGGAGAGAGTCAGAGTTGGAAAAATCCTGACCCCTTTAAGCTTCACCTTAACGGAACATTCCTGAACACACACCCCAGGGCTTGTACCTTGTGTGCCGAACAGTCTTGCACCCCACACTCTAAGTTGAGGGTCTCATTCTCCGCTGACAGGTCCGTGAGGATGTCCTACAAAGAGCGCATTGGAAGAGATCGTCGGGACGAGCTGCGCACGGCAGCCAGGGGGCAGGTCCCTCTGAAGGACCGCGGAGCGCTCCGGTCTCCTGGGTCAGACTGCTGAGGACTGAACCTGACACCTGACCTTGGGAGGGAAACCCAGGCGGCTAGGAAGCTCCTGAGGGACCCACAGTCGGCAGGGAGGGGGTGTGGGACGTGGCTAAGACACACCTGCTGCCTTCCCTCACTGCACACCTCTTCTAAGTACCCATGAAGCACAGAGCCCTGTACCTGGGTTCTGAACAAAGCATGCTTCCAGTCCTCAGGGGGCTATCAACAGCTCACTGAAAGCTAAGGGAGGGTAAGAGATGCATCAGAGGGGAGAGGGGTGTGTACTGCAGGGCGGAGGTGGGGGTGGGCTTCCTGGAGGAGGCGGCACCTGAGCCAAAGACTAAAGGGAAAACTTGCTTTCAGGGAACAGAGAGAGGTGGGCAACCCCACCTAAGGGGCCAGCAGGACCCAAGGCAGAGCGTCTGAGCACAGGAAGGAGACACAGGGCCAGGCACATGGGTGCTCAGAGGGGCCACGGGCAGAGCCCGAGAGGCAGGTGCGTCCCCAGGACCCAGTGCAGTTAACCCGCTGGGGAGGGGACTCCATAGTAATACCCTGCAAAGCTCAAGGGGACTGCGGCCCACTGAAGAACCACCAGCAGGCTGAGCTCGGGGCGGGAACCGGAAAGGCAGGCTGGGGTCAGGTCACAAAGCATCAACAGAGCTGTGATAAGACACGTGAATTTTCTATTAAAAAGTAATGGGGGGGGTGCCTGGGTGGCTCAGTTGGTTAGGCGTCTGCCCTCAGCTCGGGTCATGATCCCAGGGTCCTGGGATCGAGCCCTACATCGGGCTCCCCGCTCCGCGGGAAGCCTGCTTCTCCCTCTCCCACTCCCCCTGCTTGTGTTCCCTCTCTCGCTGTGTCTCTGTCAAATAAAAATAAAATCTTTAAAAAAAAAAAAAACAAAAACTAATGGGGTGAGGTGCCTGGGTGGCTCAGTCGGTTAAGCATCTGACTCTTGATTTCGGCTCAGGTCAGAATCTCAGGGTTGTGAGACTGAGCCCCGTGTCGGGCCTCAGAGTGGGTGAGAAGGCTGCTTAAAATTCCCTCTCTCTTCGCCCTTTGCCCCTCCCCCCACTCACACGTTCTCTCAAAAATAAAATCTTAAAAAAAAAAAAGTAATGGGGGGGGCCGAGGGAGGTTTCTAAGAAGCAGTGATAACATCTGATCCATGTTCTAGAAAGAGTTCTCTGTGGACAGTATGAGGACTGACTGGAAAGACAAGAGACCAGAGACAGGGCCCAAGGTAGAAAACTGCTTCCCAGGCCCGGGATGGGGGATGGGGCCACAATGGGGACCGCGGGACCGAAAATGGAGAGACAGCTGGAGAGACCGGGCTGGAAGCCAGGAGAGAAGGCGAGGACAACTCCACGGGGCCTTCAGGGGCTAGCCGGGGGATGCTGCAGGATTACTAGAAACGGGGGCCAGAGAAGGTGAGGTGTCTGCTTTCCTCAGTGCCCCGGACAGAGCCCTGGGCAGGTGCAGAGTCCCCGCCAACACCCTGAGCGGCAGGCCCTGCCCCGCAGGGCGCCGAGGGCTCACACTGTGGTGTCTCGCTACACTTTCTGGGTCAGCGGGGAAGTGAGGATCAGGAAATGAGATGGAGCAAGGGCCAAGAACAGACCGGAGAGCATGACACGGAAGGGGGGCAGCGGCTGCCCACTTATCTGCACGGGGCCGCGAAGGTGGGGATGGGCCAGCTGGGGCAGGGCTGGCTGGCGGGGGGGACAGACATACACGGCAGGCCCCGCGCCCCCGAGAGTCAGGCGGGCGCCTCTGGAGGAAGTCCTCCAGCGGGGAACCCAAGCCTGCTGGTCTGTTTTTGACACTTCTCGGTGAAAAGGAAACGACTCCCTCCATTTCTCCAAAGGCAGCATTTCACAGCCCTGGGTCTGCTTCTGCACTTTCTATCCTGGTGTTTCTGGCTACACCTGCTGCTCTAACCAATGAGTGCTCTACCCTCCGTTCCAGCAAAGGCGGGTCTCCTGGCACCTGTGGCTTGCTGTTCACCCCACCCCTCATCCCCGGGCCTCGAGCATCAGGCCCCTTACCTGCAGAGACATGGTTCCTCTCACAGCTACCACGACAGATTCTTTCCTGTGGTCCAGAGCCACTAAAAACGGAAGCTCGTAGACCTGAGGGCGAGGGAAAGAAGCACGAGTTCTCACCAGTGAGAGCGCGCAGCTACGGGGCCGCGTTCGGCCGGCCCGGCATCTCTAACAGTTCGGCAGTGGGGCTGGGCTGCTCTTCCACAGAAGGTGGGCTGCGTAGGAACCCGGGATGTATCTCTACAAAGACTTCCGACTCCATCTTGTGTTAAGCCCATGTGGGCTTCAGGGAGCCTGGGAATCCCCTGAAACAGCATGCAAACCGTGCGTGTGTGTGTGCACACGTGTGTGTCTACGCTCATTGTCCTTGGGGAGATAATTTATAACTTCCATCACACTCTCGAAGGACCCTGTGACCCCAGAGCAGTGACGAGGCACCGCTGTACCGACCTTGTCATGAAAGCTTATGTGAATGAAGTCCCTGTACTGCAGGCCTGTCGTGTGCAGGATGGAGCCGAAGTGACAGTGGAGCTGGTCTCCTCCGACCAAGTCGTATTCCGTCGTCCTGCTTCGACAACTAAACACACAGGCAAACGTGTCAGTTATGGTACTGACCAGGGAACATCAAGCTCACCCCCCGCTTCCCCAACAACCGTGAGCACCGAGCTCACAACATTCAGCCCTTCCTCTGGCTCCCATATAACAGCCTTTACTATTTCCGGGCACACCTCTCACTAGAGTTCTGACTTCTGAGGTCGTGTTAATGTTTTACATATTCAAAAAATAAATTATATTAAGAACGGGAGAGACTCTAAAATCTCCAGGAATGGGACAAACTGGCATCTTGTTTCCTCCTATGATGGACCAAGAAGGGCAGGACGTTCCTCCTGAGGAAATCCTGCCAGAAATATGTACTCGACTCCAACCCAGAAAAAAACCATCAGACAAATACAAACTGAGGGCCATTCACAAAATACGCAGACTACCGTGCAAGGCAATGTCACTAGCACACAAGACAGAAAATACCACGAACTGTTCCAGACAGACAGCCAAGCGCAATGTGTGAGCCTCACGTGGAGGAAACCTTGCTCTGAAGGCTCCTACCGGGACAAATGGGAAACTGTGACCAAAACCTAAGGCAGCTACTGCGTAACGTGAGATGTGCTGGCGCAGGGCGTGCGGAGTATGCAAAAGGAGGCCCTCGTTCTCAGGAAACGCGGGCGGGGGCGTGCCCTCTGCGCGGGAAGCCAGACAGGAAGCGAGGATGAAGCAGCGCAGCTCCAGATAAGCGATCCATGGGCCTTCTCGGTACCGCACTCACAGTTTTGATATATTTCAAAACTGAACGTTTTTGGGAAAGGGGAAACGGGATTATTTTTAGAAACTATAGTGGGGTGCCGTCGGACTGACGGGCGGAAGGCGGGTGGGGGCCCAGGCACGCCCACCTACCAGTCCCCGCCAATCTTGCAGAGCCCGGTGAAGGGGTTCCGATAGATGTAGAGAGGCCACCCATAGGCCGCTGCTGCAAACTGCATGTAATGGTGACAATTGGCTAACTCGGCGTCCAAATCAGCTTCCTGAAGAGAAGAAAAACAGCTTTTTGTTTCAGGGAACCCATTGCGGACGAGACCAACTCACGAAGATCATAAACCTGAACTCGAACTCCTGATGCCCCTTTCTTTCCTCACGGAACAGACCTCAGCAGACTTCCACAGGGGAAACTCGTCTTTAAACACAGACTAAAACAGACCCCTCACTTTACAGGAATGCCACAAGTACGGTGGAAATGAACAGCAAGAATCCCTGCTGACTTTTGGGGCCCCTGCTGGAACGAGCCAGGGACTGAGTCGGAAGCGCATGAGGACAAGCAGAGCACCAGGTCCCTGCAGCAGCAGAGCCGGAAGGGCCGGGCACCTGTGTGAAGGGCAGAGAAATCCATCCATCTGCGTGCAACCTTCTCTTTCAGAAGCCTAAACAGCTGTGGCAGGAAAACTCCTCCAGCAAAACCCAACTGTTCTGCTCCCTCGTTCCAGAGAAGAGAGCAAACACACCCAGGGGGAATCAGGCCCATCCCAGAGAGAATTTTTGCTATGTTGACTTCAGCCAATTTCCTAAAAGAGAACGCTTTAAAAATACAATGGAGGAGGGGCACCTGGGTGGCTCAGTCGGTTAAGCGTCTGCCTTCGGCTCAGGTCATGATCCCAGGGTCCTGGGATCGAGCCCTGCGTCGGGCTCCATGGTCCGCGGAGAGCCTGCTTCTCCCTCTCCCTCTGCCTGCTGCTCTGCCTATCTGTGCTCTCTATGTCTCTGTCAAATAAATAAATAAAATCTTAAAAAAAAAAAAAAAACACAATGGAGGGTGAAGCGGACAGGAATGGGCTCCCTCTACCCGAGGGACCACAACTAGCAAAAGCCACACATCAGATTCCAAGCCAACTGTCCTGAAATTGTTGCTGGCCAGTCTATTTTGTTTTTTGAAGATGTGTTAATAGGAGTAAATGTCAAAACTGTACAAGCCGGGCGCCTGGGTGGCTCGGATGGTTAAGCATCTGCCTTCGGCTCAGGTCATGATCCTAGAGTCCTGGGATGGAGTCCCGCATCGAGCTCCTGGCTCCTTGCTCCTTGGGAGCCTGCTTCTCCCTCTGCCTCTTTCTCTTTCTCTCTCTCTCTGTCTCTCATGAATAAATAAATAAAATCTTTAAAAAAAAAAAACTGTACAAGCCACCAGAAAGACACTTACCTGGGGGGGCCCCGGGGAATGGCCGATCACCCCATCCGGCTCCTGGCTGTTCCTGATATTGTCCTGTTGCTGATGGAGAAGGGTGAGGCCCGCTGCAATGTCGCTGGGCACCAGGTCTGTGTCCTGGATGTAAACAGTGGCTTGTCATAAACTCAGCAGGGATGGCCCATGAGTTCCTTTTTAAAAATCCAGTTTTTTTACAGTTCATACGCACACACACACAGGTATGTGTAAAGAGATTCCTTAAAAGTATTTTCCTTTCAAGACTCCTTCTATATGTGAGCTTGATGATTTTTACTATCCTGCCCTCAGACAAATCCACTAGAGAACACAGAAATGTTGCTGAGCTTTTATTTTCAAATTTCATTTCAAGTAACTTAACTGACTTCACAGCTTTTGTATAGTTGGGAGCAAATGGCTAAGTAAGTTCACCATCTTTGTAGTAATGGCCAATTTTAGCCCAAGGTTAGCCTCTTGCTTAAGATACCCTGGTTTTGTTCGAGTCCCTGGTAGAGATTTGAGAGACTGAACTTAGAATCACTGGCTACAGCAAGCCTCCAAAAGAACCTCAAACTAGGACAGCAACAGAGGGCGTCTCTTGTGCCTGCCTTCCCCCTTCTCCTTCAGGCAGGACTCCTCGGCTGCCTCCAGGCACTTCTGGTCCACAGGCACGGACCAGGCACCGGCCACTCGGCCTCTGAGCCATCGGTTCTCCCAACTGTCTTAAGACCAGACTGAAGCACTCCTTGAAGTTTACTTTAGGGAGACACACTTCTCCAGCCCCTACATGGAGGCTGTTGCGGCAACTGCTACCAGCCTACGGGGCCAGCCCTGGGCCCTGCAGACGCAGACACTGCACAGAGCAAGGAGGGACCGGCAGTCGTGCAGGACGTCATGAGAACGCCTCTCCCTTACCTGGTCTCAGTGCTGAACACAACAGTTTACCAGAGAACATTACAGGAAAACGGTGGATGTGAAAGGAAAACGAGTATTTCCAAATCACTGAAGAAACTGCTCTAGAATGAAGATGCCTTCCTACATTGTAATAACATATTCAAACTCTCCTTCAAAAGCAGAATAATCTATCATTTCTATCATGCTATAAAATAGTAAACAAGGTCTGATACCACCCTGGATGCATGACACTGCCCATACCTGGTGCAGAGGACCAGCTGGATGGAGGACAGACGATTCAGACAACTGGCAAATCATCCCCAAAATATGCAGGTTCCATCATTTAGCTTCTTAAAAATGAACTAAAAATCCTGACAGTGTAACAAACAGGTGGCAACACCAGGACGCAGCGACCAGAGAGACGGGGTCTGCAAGCGCAGGGCCCTGGGTTAATGCCCCCTAGTCTCCCCCCAACTCCGTCACACCACAGACCACACGTGGGCAAGAGCTCTTTGACGTGAACAGGGAGATCAGCTCCAAACAGAGTATTCATCTTTTTTTTTTTTCCCAGAGTATTCATCTTAACATAAGAGACATTTACTTAGGAGAAAGAGACAAAAGCAGACCCCTTCAGCTTACTGAAAAGTAGGTTGAGAAAAGCTCTGCCGTACTCGAAAAAGCAACTCGAGTATGGTCGTCTTTCCCGACGCAACAGCACAGGAACTTGATTCTGGTTTCCCACACGCTGGTAGCTGCTGTCTTGAGGCTGTTAAGTAGCTGGCTCGAATCATGACTATCCAGGTGGTTGGGGCCAGAGGAGGGATATGGAGCCATTTTCCCCCCAAGGGGGTCAAAGACGATGATGATGGTGACCACAGTGGAGACGATGATAATCCAGCTGCAAAACAGAGAGAGAAGGCGTGATGACCCTGGTCTCACATCCAGATGCGGATCTCCCAGAACCAGGTTGAGGTGAGCAACTTGTTTCTTCTAGAAAGGTTTTTTTTTTTTTTTTTTTTTAAGATTTTATTTATTTAGGGCGCCTGGGTGGCTCAGTTGGTTAAGCGACTGCCTTCGGCTCAGGTCATGATCCTGGAGTCCCGGGATCGAGTCCCACGTCGGACTCCCTGCTCGGCGGGGAGTCTGCTTCTCCCTCTGACCCTCTTCCCTCTCGTGCTCTCTATCTCTTATTCTCTCTCTCTCAAATAAATAAATAAAATCTTTAAAAAAAAAAAGATTTTATTTATTTGTCAGAAAAAGAGTACAAGCAGGGGGAGCGGCAGGCAGAGGGAAAAGCAGGCTTCCCACCGAGCAGGGAGCCTGATGCGGGACTCGATCTCAGGACCCTGAGATCATGACCTGAGCCGAAGGCAGATGCTTAACCAACTGAGCCATGCAGGTGTCTCTAGAAAGTTCTTTATGAGCCCGTGGCTGACCCAGGCCCCACAAAAATCAGAGCCTTAGAAGTGAAGATCACAAAAGAAAAAAGGAGATGCCTGGTAGGCAGAGTTGCAGCCTGGGCACAGAAGTAGCTGGAACCTGTTCTCCATGGTCCACTGGCCATGACCTAGGCCCTTAACTCCTCAGTGCCTTGGGGTTCTCAGTAAAACCGAAAGAACTGTGCCACATCGTGGGAAACTCTGATGGGTCTTTCATTCATACGTGTGAGGCACAACATGCCAGACACTGTGGTTCCTGGACACGTGTGCCACGGGAAGACGCGCCTCTGCGAAGGGGCTCTGCTGCCCGTGCGTGTGCAGCATGGGCAGGGCGGCATCAGCACGAGTCTCCAGACTGTTCCTAAGACGGTGAGCCTGGAAACTGCGCAAACCCGATCCCGTGCGTTAGTCCCTGTCACGATTCCTGACACCACGTTTCTTCTCATCCTGCCTTTAGTTTTTGCCCTTGAATTGGTCTTTGGGTTTTCTTCCTTCTTAAAACAGAAGGGATAGAATGCAGAAGAATGAGAACCAGCAAGAAAGAAAATGGTATCAATAAATGCGTTAACGGGAAATGAATTGTTTCTTATATATAAACGCACGTCTCTCAATTTTTATGATTTACTCAAAAAGGTCCAACTTCTAGTAATTTTAGGAAGCCCGCATGACTTGGGGCTATCTGCAGTGACTCAGAAAGGTCTGCTTCCTTACATCTCAAATGCATCCGAGACAAGGAACCGAAAAAGACAAAGACCTCACCTGATGATGACGGTGGCAATGATGCCACTCACCACCGTCCTGTCACACTGCACGTCGTCTGCTATCCAGGCAGCCCCCAGAGAAGCCCAGACCATCTCCGGGAGAAAGAGCGTGAGGCGGAAGTAAAGCAGTTTGGACATAGATTTCCGTGGTCCGGGATTACAGATGGTTCCTGAAACACACAAGATACTCAACCCGGGCACCTGGCTTCCTCAGAGACTTGCTTTCCACACAGAGCGCAGAGAGCATCTGTTAGTACTGTAGGTGCGCCTGGTGGTGTCTACTCATAACTGGAAATCAAGGCCCAAGGCTGAGAGCAAGTGGCCAAGGGAGGGGTGGCAACAGGACAAAAAGCCTCAGCTTCATTTCCTAGACTTACTAGGGTTTCAAGATACTTCAGGGTTCAAACTGGGATGACCATATAATCACTGTCCAAATTGGGACACTTCTGAGAGAGGAAGGAGGTGCTATTAAAAATTATGCTGGGACAACCAGCACAAAACAGAGCTGTCCCAGGCCAACAGAGATACACGGTCACCTGAGTTCTAGAACATAACTCCGCCATCTGCTTGAGACCTACGGCGTTCAGGCACCACGTGAAACACTTTATACCCATTATTCTGTAATCCTCACGACTCTGAAGAGAGTCACCATCCCATTTTACAAATGAGGAAACTGAGGCTAACTGGGCTTAGTAACTACTTTAACTACTAAAACATAACCCAGAGGGTGCATGATGGGCAGTAGGGTTGATTAAGCGTCTGACTCTGGATTTCAGCTCAGGTCATGATCTCAGGGTCGTGAGATCGAGCCCTGCGTCCGGCTCTGTGCTCAGCGGGGTGTCTGCCTGAGATTCTCTCTCCCCCTCTCTCTGCCCCTCCCCCGGCACTCTCTCTCTCAAAGAAATAAATAAATAAAATCTTAACAACAACAACAAAAAACCCCACAATCCAGGTCTGCTAGTCCCGGCTCTCCGCCTCACCAACATCTGCACTCTTGGGAAGTGAACAATTCTGACGTGTGAGAACGCTTGAAGAAACCTAACAGGCAGACACAACCTTTTCACCGTGTGTCTCAAACAAACCCAAGTATCTCACTGAGATCTGTGTGCTTTAATTCCTGATGCAAAACATCAACTCTCTCCGTCTGTGAAAAAGTTGTGATAAATACTAATTGAAGCAACATAAAAATGCCACATGGTTAAAACAAAAACACCAAAAAGAACCCCAAAACCCAAAACAGTGAGTGAAGACATTTCTAAGATGTAAAGAATGATTTGGTGAGGAAACAGCTTTTATGTTCCAAAAATCACCTTCCATTAAAATGGATTACTTAGGGGCGCCTGGGTGGCTCAGTCGTTGAGTGGCTGCCTTTAGCTCAGGTCATGATCCCAGGGTCCTGGGATCGAGCCCCGCATCAGGCTACCTGCTCCACGGGGAAGCCTGCTTCTCCCTCCCCCACTCCACCCCCTGCTTGTGTTCCCTCTCTCGCTGTCTCTGTCAAATAAATAAATAAAATCTTAAAAAAAAAAAAAAAAAAGGATTACTTAGAGGGGCGCCTGGGTGGCTCAGTCGTTAAGCGTCTGCCTTCAGCTCAGGTCATGGTCCCAGGGTCCTGGGATCGAGCCCCGCATCGGGCTCCCTGCTTGGCAGAAGGCTGCTTTTCCCTCTCCCATTCCCCCTGCTTGTGTTCCCTCTCTCGCTGTGTCTTTCTCTGTCAAATAAATAAAATCTTAAAAAAAAAAAAAGAATGGATTACTTAGAGTCACGTTTTAAAATGTTAAAGACACTCTCCAGTTTCATGTTTGGCACAAAGACAAAATACAAGGTAACCAAAACACCACTCTCTCTCTGAGGGACAGTGAGTGCAGACATAAAAACTCGGCGCTATCTGGAGCCTGCTGCTAACAACAGCCGATCACCCGCAAAACAGCAACCGGGGCTGGCACCGTGAACACCGACAGCACCTGGGCCCAACGCTCCAGGAATGGGATAAAGTCGGAAATTAGGAAGCAGAAAACGGAGTTCGAAGATTCCAAAAAGAAATCAAGATACTGAAAAAACCTCCTTTATATAGTCATACCCGCCAATGAAAACATTGTCATTTACTTAGATAAGAGATTTTCCTCTCAAGGCAAAGAGGGGACCGGCGTGCACCCAGATGCTCCAGGGGGCGCGGTGACACTGAGAACCCAGAACTGACAAGCTGGACGGAATGTCCTCAGCGCAGCCCGGGTCTTCATCAGGCAGAGCCATTTGGCCAGAGACCACAAAAGGCAGGCCTGTGTCACAGAATCTTTGGTTCAACACCCCTACACACTGCAGCAATCTTCCCCGGCGTGAGATGGGCAATGAACTCCTAATACAAATACGGAGGCGATGCAAGGAAACATCCCAGAATCACGATCAAACCCAGCGAATGGCACACCCTGGAGGTTGAGGGTGTTATGCCAGGAAAACGTGGTAGTCATGAGGCTGGGCCTTCCCCTAATTAAACCTCCTACATGGTAGGAACAGTAGGATTTCACCAGGGAGGTTCTCAAATCAAAACTAGAAACTGCCACAATATCAAGATTCTTCCCAACTATGCTACACTGATGACCAAGAAAAAGAGCAGAGGTAATTACACACGCATCAGTGTCTGGGGTAAAGATGACTGACCCCCACTGGTCCCAAACGCGTGCAGCCTGTGGTGTTTCTTTTAGAGAGTAATACCAGAGCAAAGCTACAAAAACATGGACTTTCTGCATAAGTGACAGGTTAATTACTGAGATGCCTTACGGAACAAAAGGGGCAACAGAAGTTATCCATTGATCAAGAATAAAACTAACAAGGACGCCTGGGTGCCTCAGTCAGTTAAGCATCCGACTCTTGATTTCGGCTCAGATCGTGATCTCAGGGTTGGCACTTAAACTAACATAATTTATAAAATATTGTTTTTAGTTCAGTTGTGGTATCTCTAGCCACAAGTAACGAAAGTTTAAAAACGGGAAGGACCTGGGACCGCCCTGACTTCGGGGACTGGAAGTGCAGAGCTGGCACAGGCATCACGGCTCTCTGGCCCCCCCACAGCTCTGCCCTCCTCTGTGTCAGCTCATCCTGGCAGTGAGCGGAGAAACGGCAGGAACTCAGCAGCTCCTCCCTCCACAGAATCACCCAGACTGAAAACAGCCTATTGCTTCTGGATCTTTCCTAGAGGAGCAAGGAAAGACTCCCCAGAATTTTCCAGAAAACTCCTGAGTTTCACTGGCTCAAACTGGGTCACACGTCCATTCCAGAACCAGTCACTGACACATGAGGATCATTCCTGAGCTGGGTGGAGAGTTGGTTTCTCTGACGCACTTACTTCATATGTGAGGGATGGGGGACGTCCCAAATAACACTGGGTTCTGTTTGGAAGAGGCTGCTGGACAGGCAACGCACCCATAACACAAACAATTGGCACATGACGCCTAACACGTACACCGTCAGATGTTTTCTGACGTGAGTGTGAGATGGGGCAGGCCTTAGCAAGTGCTTACAACGGGGAGCCTCAGTGAACATGGCCATCCATCACGGCGTACATGCCCTGACACCACCAAAAATACCTGAAGCAAACCATTTAAGGGAAAAAAAGCTTACATTCCTGCTTCAGATCTGAACCCACTATTATAGCGGCATACTCGGTCTCCTAACCAGAACAGGACATGAACAGAAAAGGCCAATACATGACATGATACCACAGCTGAAGGGACACCAACCTAAATACTTCTTTCAGAAATTCAGACTTCATGAAAAGACTCCATGGTGCTGGGGCGCCTGGCTGGCTCAGTCGGTTAAGCATCTAACTCTTGGTTTCGGCTCAGGTCATGATCTCAGGGTCACGAGATCAACCCCTGCATCAGGCTCCATGCTCAGTGCAGAGTTTGCTTGAGATTTTCTTTCTCCCTCTGCATCCCCCACCCCACTCTCTAAAAAACACCACCATCACAACACCAAAACCACAACTCCACAGTGCTAAAGCCACCCAGAGGGGACTGACACAGATCACAAAACTGGGACCTTCTTCGCTCGAGACATTCATACATGCATTCATGTTTTCAGGGGCATGCTCAATTACACACAGCTCTCTTTCCATATATTTCTCTTTAACTGGGCACATGCCACACCTCTTGGTCATCCAGAACCCTGTGGTCTTTGGCCACTAACATTTCTCTATCACTCCCCATGAGCTATCCCCATCTTTTAAGTTTCAGTTGGTCATTCCACACCGTCAAGTTCATGATTCTGCCGCCCAGTGTATCAGCTATTCCCTCCCAGTGCTTTCCCCATCATCTGGAGTATGTGAGCGTGCCTCCCACAACCCCACTCAAGCAATGATGAAATGTGCTGGAGGGCGGCATGCCATTCAGCCCTGCCTCTGACTGTGCAGTTTTGTTTTGTTTTTAATATTTTATTTATTTATTTGACAGAGATAGAGAGAGACAGCACAAGTAGGCAGAGAGGCAGGCAGAGGGAGAGGGAGAAGCAGGCTCTCCGCTGAGCAGGGAGCCCGATGCTGGACTCGATCCCAGGGCCCTGGGATCATGACCTGAGCTGAAGGCAGCCGCTTAACCAACTGAGCCACCCAGGCGCCCTGACTGCGCAGTTTTTAGTTACTAACGCACCACGATGCTCGGCTCCTCCTATGAACCTGAGCACTCATACAGGGAGGCTCCCAACATTTTCAGCAAAGTGACTGCAGAAAACTGTAACATGGAGGAAAAAAATATCATTAAGAATAGACGAACTGTTACAACTCATTAATAAAAAAGGACAAATAACCCAACTTAAAACAGGGCAAAGGATCTGAGTAGACACATCCCCAAAGATGATATACGAATGTCCAGTAAGCATACAAGAGGATGCTCATCAAGGAACTACAAATCACAACCACAGTGAGATCCACCAGGACCGCAAGGATCGGAAAGTCAGACAAAGGTAAGTCTGCTGACGATGGGGAGAAATGGAAACTCTTTATAAACTGAAAGAAAAATGGTGTAGCTGCTTGGAAACCAGCCTGCCAGTTCCCCAGAAGGTTAAACACAGGGTTACCACATGACCTAGCCATTCCACGCCTAGGCACACATCCAGGAGAAATGAAAACCTCTGTCTATACAAAAACACATATGTGAACATTCATAGCGGCTTTATTTGTAATAGCCCAAAAGTGTTAATAAACCCAATGTCCACCGACTAACAAATGGATAAGTAAAAACGTGGCAAACCATTCGATGTAATTTTTTAAAAAGATTTTTTATTTATGTGAGAGAGAGAGAGAGCGTGCACATAGGAGCTGGGGAGGGGGGTTGGGGCAGAGGGAGAGGGAGAGGGAGAAGCAGATTCCCCACTAGGCAGAGAGCCTGACGTGGGGCTCGATGCCAGGACCCTGGGATCATGACCTGAGCTGAAGGCAGATGCTTAACCGACTGAGCCAATATTATTCAGTCATAAGAAGAATGAAGAGCTGACACACACTAAAAGGTGAACGAACCTTGAAAACATGCTAAGTTTAGGAAGCCAGACTAAACGGCCACATAGTGGATGACTCCACCTGTATGATCCAGAATAGGTAGATCTACAAAGTAGATTAGTAGATGGCTGGGGCTGAGGAAATTGGGGAAAAATGAGGAGGATTGCTAATAGGCATAGGATTTTTTTTGGGGTGATGAAAATGTACTAAAATTGTGGTGATGGATGCACAACTCTGTGAATATAGTAAACATCACAGACTTGTACATTTTAAATGGGTGAATTGTATCGTACATGAATTATATCTCAATAAAGCAATTAAAAAAGAACAGATATCAAATAGAAAAGGCTACCCCTTACCTTTCATGCTGACACACACAATGGCGGACACCGTACATATAATAACTGCTAGGAGAACAAGAAGAACGATCAAGTAACTGCTGAGCAGGGTGCCGCCTGCACAGTCCAGCTTCCCTCTGTGCATGAGGTACAAAGTCAAAATGCCAATCCACCTGCCGAGAGACAGGGAGGGTCAGAAATGGAAACCAAGGAACTACGTTATAAAACATTACAGAATGAAATAAAAGGAGTTAATATTTAAAAAAATTTTTTTTAGTTAAAAATTTTTGAGGGCGCCTGGGTGGCTCAGTTGGTTAAGCGACTGCCTTCGGCTCAGGTCATGATCCTGGAGTCCCGGGATCGAGTCCCACATCGGGCTCCCTGCTCAGCGGGGAGTCTGCTTCTCCCTCTGACCCTCTTCCCTCTCGTGCTCTCTCTTATTCTCTCTCTAATAAATAAATAAAATCTTTAAAAAAAATTTTTTTGAAAAGCTAGTATTTCCCAAAACAAGGCGAAGTTTGCGTTGGAATATAATTTTCTTCGATAAAAGATCTACTAAAAGAAAACAATAAAAAAATCTACTAAGTTAATTACAGAGCGTAAGCTTTTTTAAAAAAATGAGTTTTATCCTTTCTGTGCTTACATGATTGTTCCTAATTCTCCGCCTCCTTTAATATCTAAGAGGCATTTAATGCCATAAGCAGGCAACTATAATGTGGGCTGATGAAAAACAGCAGCCCTACCATGACTCAGAAACATGCAAGCGTAAACCAACAAAATACATGCTTGCTAAAATATTAACAAGATAATGTTCACTTCTGGGGATTAACAAGAAACTGACAAACACACTCTGTCATCTGCTGTGTGTAATGCAAAAACCAGGAGGTGGTAATCAAGTTATGCCAAGATGTTCCACGGTGAACACTGATAAGCTTGAAAGGCCCCGTACTGCAGACTTATATATATTTTGTAATTCGGTGCAGAACAAGGAAAAACAGCACCAAACATCGCAAAGCAACAGTGACCATTCACCCGAGGCATTTCTGCAAAGGGCAGAACATCGCTGGCAAGAACGCTGTTATTAAGGATTCAAGCCCAGGTGTGGAACTGGGACTAGAGAACATTTTATGCTTTTGTCAGTTTTGTGGTATCAGGACTTTGGGTCTGGAAATAACAATGGGAAATGATATCGGAGAGACCTGGCTCTGAAAACTATGAAACTACTGGGGAGCCGCTTCCAATATTTCACGTTCTTATATTCCTTTCTCCTCGAAAATGCACTCTTATTCCCTGCCCAGCCCCTCTGGGAGCAGACTTGAGGCGCCCAATTCCACTTCCCATCGGTTGCACACTTTGTGCCAAGCCTGGCTGCTCGTCGGGGAATTCGGCCACAACCAGAACGACAGGCAGTCTACTATTTCCCATACTTTCCTTTGGTTTGACACTTGATGCCCTGAATTTCCATGCCGAGCGCCATAATGATGCAAGTGGCTGTCCCTGGCTTCAGGAAACAGTTCCCGGAGGCCACGGCCTTTGGTCGGCAACCCCGTCCCGGGGGCTCCCGGGGCCAGGCCTCGGGGCCGCACGCGACTGGAGACCCCCTGGGGGCCCCGGGCCCGGTATCCCCGGCTCCAGCCTCAGTGTGCCCTCCGAGAAATGGGGAGAGCGGCTGCACTCCCGTCCTCGGAGGCCTCGCGCGGTGGAGAGGCCCAGACGAGGGAACGTGGGCACCGCGTCCGTGCGCACAAAGCCGGCGACACCGCCACGCTTCCCGGGCCGCTTGAACCCGCTCCCTCCGCGCCTCGGCCGCCCGCCCGCACAGCCCAGCGCCCTTACCACACCACTCGCAGGGACAGCTCGAAGAACCCCGGGAAGACCAGGTCGTCGCTGGCGATGGCCCAGCGCCGACCGAAAAGCACCATCCCGGGCATTGCTGAGGTCCCGCTGCCCGGCCTCCGGCCGGCCCGCCCCGCGCCAGAGGCCACTCGCAGCCCCGCGCCCTCCAGGATCCAACGCCAAACTGACTGCGACTCGGCGCAGGCGCGCGCTAGGGTCGGGTCCGGCGCACGCGCACTGAGCGCCGCGCAGCCCCTGGACCCTCCGCGCCTGCGTAGAGGCGCTGACCGGAAAGGCGCTGGTCAGCTTCATAGCTGGATTGTAGGTGTGTGAAGTCCGTTCTGATAACATTCCCGTTTTGTAGATAAGGAGTCTTCGGGGCGCGGAGGAATGAGCACCTCCTGAGGTCCACGGGTGTTAATGGTAGATTTGGGACTCCTCCCAGGTCTGTGGGCCTCCAAGCGTGTGACGAAGTTCACCCTCGGTGCTACCCGCCGTCAGGAATGCGGCGTTCGGACGCCTCTCGAGTTCAGGGTTTGAAACCACCCGGCGGCTTGGGGCTGGGGCGTGGGTAAGATCCTGATCCTCAGAGCCCACGGCACCGAGCACTTAGCACCTCCACTCTGCCCCACCCTAGTCTGAGCCCCCTTGAGACCCCTTCGTCTCGTGCCAGCCCGGGTCTCCCCACTGCGCTCCCTCATTCTGCCCTTGCCTCCCACCCCCCGCCCCCCGCCAATGCATTTCCCCTGCAGCAGCTGGGGCGACCTTGTTGAACCGTCAGAGCAGGCCCATCCTCCGCTTAGGATCTTGCACGTCTGCACTTTGTGCATGAGATTGACTCCAACCCCCCGGGAAAGGCTCTTCCCTGGTAGCACACACCACAAGTCTGTCAATGCGTGTTTCTCTGTCTCCTTGGGTTTGGGTTACCATTCTCTCTCTCCATCACCTCACTGCCTGCCGCCTCCCCGCCAAATACATCAAGCTCACTCTCGTCCCAGGACTTTTACATTCTCTGTTTCCTCGGCCAGGGATGCTCCTCCCCAGTTATTTACCTGTCTCTGTCTCAGGTCATTCAGGCCTCAGTTCAAGTGCCCCCGTTTCAAAGAGGCCTTCCCTGGCCACCTTATCTAAACAGCACACCCACCTGTTCCTATTCCCTCACTCGGCTTCAGTTTTCCTCCCTGATACTTAATCACTCCCTGACATTGTACCACATTTATTACCTTTCTCCTCCCACCTTAGGGTGTAAATTGCATAAGCAATTTACCTCTCCGGTCTTGTTTACTGCTATGCACATAATGGAGCAAATTACAGGCACTTATTCAATACTTGATGAATAAACAAACTCATTGAATGTCAAGGTTTTCTAAGTCTGAAGTTCCTTCAGGGATCTGCTAAAGTGCAGGATTTCAGAGTTAAAAATAGTATCGAAATTATATTGATGGTTGCGGAAATCATACAGGGAATTGTAGATGGGCAAGTTACAAGGTTTCTATAGAAAAGAGAACCATTCATTATAAAATAAGTATTCATTGGGTACTTGGTGTGGCCAGAAGTGACTTAATCCGAGAGGTCAGGGAAGACTTCCCTGAAGAAGATACTAAAATGAGATCTGGAGGAAGAATAGGAATTCAGTGGAAGAAAGTGATTCAGAGGCTAAAGGGCTGTGCCTATGATCCGAATATTCTCAAATGTAATAGTTCCCTTTTGAAAACAGGATTTGTAAGGGTTAGCAATAAGATAATTCTTCTATATAAGCTTTTGTTAGTAAAGATAAAGAAGATACTGATGACTTAATGTTACAAACAATAACAACCCACAAAACTATGATTTCAAACAGGTAGCATACACATTAAAAAGAAAAGAAAATGTGTTTTGTATAGTTTTTCTGAGATTTATTTATTTATTGGGGGAGTGTGAAGAGGCAGGGGGAGAGTGAGAGAGAATCCAAGCTGACTGCACTGAGTGCAGAGCCCAACAGGGGGCCACAATCTTAGGAGCCTCAGCTCACGACCTGAGCCAAAACCAAGAGTCAGATGTTTAACTGACAGAACCACCCAGGTGCCCCTGTATTTTATGTAATTCTAATCTCTGGGAGTATGTTTTGCCATTTCCTTGTAACATTATTCCATTTGTTGAATTAGAGCTGTTTTAAAACATTATTCCATCATGTGGGTATCTCATACAAAGCATATTAAATTCCCTTATTTTAGACAAGTTTTTCAATTTTCTATTAAAAATAGCTTTTTAAAAAAGATTTTATTTATTTATTTGAGAGAGAGAATGAGATAGAGAAAGAGCATGAGAGGGGTTAGGGTCAGAGGAAGAAGCAGACTCCCTGCTGAGCAGGGAGCCCGATGCGGGACTCGATCCCGGGACTCCAGGATCATGACCTGAGCCGAAGGCAGTCGCCCAACCAACTGAGCCACCCAGGCGCCCCAAAAAATAGCTTTAAAAAAAATTTTTATTTATTTGAGAGAGTGAGAGAGAGCACAAGCAGGGTGAAGGGCAGAGGGAGAGGCAGATTCCTCCATCGGACTCCCTGCTCAGGGTAGGGAGTCTGCTTCTCTCTCTCTCTCCCTCTGCCCCTCCCCACTGCTCATGCTCTCTCTCTCGCTCTCTTTCCCAAATAAAATCTTTTAAAAAATAAACAGATCTTTTAAAAAGATTTATCTTTAAAAATAAGTACAGTTGATCCTAGAACATTGTGGGGGTTAGGGGTGCCGACCCCACACAACTGAAAATCCGAGTATAACTTATGACTTCCCCCAAATTTAACCAATACCTTACTGTTGACTGGAAGCCTTATCGGTAACAGTTGATTAATACATATTTTGAATGTCATATGTATTATTTACTGTATTTTTTTTAAAAAATACTTTATTTACTTGAGAGACAGCAAGCACAAGTGGGGAGGGGCAGAGTGTGAGGGAGAAGCAGGTTTCCCGCTGAGCAGGGAGCCCCATATGGGGCTCAATCCCAGGACCCTGGGATCATGACCTGAGCTGAAGGCAGCCACTTAACCAACTGAGCCAACCAGGCGCCCTTATATACGGTATTCTTATAATAAACTGGAGAAAATAAAATATTAAGAAAATCATAAGAAAGAAAATACATGAATAGTTCTGTATTGTATTTATCGAATACAGTATCAAACCCATGTTGTTCAGGGTCAACTGTATTTCCTACTTCCAAAATATCCAAGTCAAAGTACAGCTCTTGAAAAGGTAAATGGGTCATCATGACTTTTATTTATTTTTTATTTTTAAAGATTTTATTTATTTGACAGAGAGAGACACAGCGAGAGAGGGAACACAAGCAAGGGGAGTGGGAGAGGGAGAAGCAGGCTTCCCGCTGAGCAGGGAGCCCGATGCGGGGCTTGATCCCAGGACCCTGGGATCA